ATAGCTTCTAATCACTGAACCAGAACTTTCCTTTAATTGTAGAAAGTAGAAGGATGGATTTCACTAAAAAAACAAAGAAATCTCACCTGTATGTTTCCTTTTTATACAGCAAACGGGTTTTGGGCAGCAGAAGGCGGGCTTTACTGCTACTGAGTGCTGATTTTTTGGCGAGTAGAGCAGCTCATTGGCTGTTTGCGCTCACTGACATCCGTTTTAAACTCCTATAACTCGAGTTTAAAAGCTCTTAAAAATATAACAGCAGTGTTAAAATGTTTCTGTGTTCAGGAAATGAATGAATTATTTTACATTAAAAATGTTTCAGCATTTTTAAACTGTGATTTTGCTCAAATGATCCATATCAACCCATTCATTTTGGACTCGCTCGGGAGCGCCCCCTAGTGTCTGAAAAACCCAGAAGACATTGCAGAGTGGTAATTCTCCTCTCTACAAGTTCTCTGTGTCTACCAAACGCCACCAACGTTAGCGTAAAATGTAAATGTAGATAATAAGCTAACCAGTGTGATCATTTACAAAGCAGAATTTCCCAGTAAAGCTGGTCAACATCGGCCAAAACTGAGGACCGTCCTGAAGTAACCCTAAATACTCTTCTATTGGACAAGACTTCATGTTTGGCCTTTGGCTTAAAATGCCACTACATATTACTACATACTCGTCTCTGATGGATTATATTCAGGGTAAACTGCGTAAATTAGATTTAACCGTTTGTTGGAGTTTTCTGGCTAACTGAGAAATCCTGCTTCAGGAAGTAAATCTGAGTGAGCAGATATTACAAGCTGGACAGGGTCACGACCTTCAGAGGTATTACCGGGCAGCGGAAATGTTTGTTTGTCCAGCTTCTCAAATGATCTGGCTGTGTTATAAACAACCACAACACACTAAGGGGGCCGCCCCCCCCCCTTACCCCAAATGTAGTCAGTCAGCTAGAACGTTTGTTGTCTTCTGTAGTTTTAGCACTGAAGCTACAAGGCTAATGTAGCTAAGAAGTTATGGAGGCTTTACCAGTTAGCCAGTTAGCATGGTGCTAACTGCTTACCTGCATTATGACTTCACTAAAACCGTGTGGATTTTTTCAGAGACCTCGAATAGAGTTGACTGTGTGTTCTGGCTCATGCGTGTAGCTAGCAATGTAGCTAATTTGTAAAGAGGAATTTCCCATCCTCTACTGGGAATTCCTACTGGGAAAGTCAGGACGGTGTTCTCAACTCCAAGCTCAGCATATGATGTCAGATCTACACGACTGCTTACGTCATCAACAATAGCAAAGAACCACGTATTGACTTTTAAATGAGGTTAGCTTTAAATCAGCCAACGTAGAGACACAGTAGCTGGTTAATCTATAACACTGACCATAAAGCGGTCAGTTTTGAGATAAATACATCCTTTATTACTCACATCACCAACATTAGCTGGATAGCTTAGGTAACACTTTACTGCAGGGTACAGTTCATAAGGCTACATTACACCCCCATAATGTTTATTAATGCTTGTTCCAATAGGCGTCATCTGTCGTAAAGACTACTTTGATCAAAATTGGCAAATGTAACATTTATAATGTATAATGCCTGTTGGAATAAGCATTAATAAACATTTATGAAGGGTTATATCAGTTATCATGACAAGCTTATGTGGGTGTCATGTAGCCTTATGAACTGTCGTTACCCAAGCTATCCTGCTAATGTTGGTGATCTCAATAAAAATGTGTTACCCCAGCTTGTTGCTAACAATACTCGTTTTAATGGAGGCGTCTATGTTTTTCCCCACTTTGTAGCTTTTCCAAGCTAAACGGAAAGCAGCTTAAGCTTCCATTGTCTGTTAGCTGCATTAGCCTCATAGCGCCAGTGCAAAACTGGCTGACTGACCACATTTAGGGTAAGAAAATACTAAACTTTTCCTTCAACGCTCAGTCTGGATTGAAAATCCTGAGTAGGCCAGGCGCTCAGCTGTGCTCATAAATCCACCACAGGGTTGAGGATTTATCCTAAAAAGTCCTGAGTTTTTCCGAACAGCAGCTTGACTAACCGTTTCACCCCGACTCGCTCTGAATTTGTAGACTAACCTGTTCAGGTCGTTATTCTAATGGAAATGCAGAGCTACTTTTACAAGGATGCACATTTAGCTGAACTTTGAGCGCGAGTTACGTTCTAGAGCGCAGCGTTTATGGGTGTGCGGTCATTTCAGACCAGAATGTTTACTTTAACTTGCATGAATTGCACAAATGTCTGTTAGTTTTGACCTGTACAGTTCTGTGCTTTAGGTTTAGTTTTCGGTGAAAAACGGCCATAAAGTTATTCATTTATAAGGAGAGATTTTTTAGTACACACAGAAAATTTGCTGGATCGAGCAAAGAAGCTGTTGGTGATCTCAGAACAATGGACTGACCACCCCAGAGTCCAGAACTCAATGTGTTTGGGGGTACTTCACACTACACTAAATATATACATACATACATATATATATATATATATATATATATATATATATATATGTATGTGTGTGTGTGTGTGTGTGTATAGTCTGTTGTCTGAAGAAAACCTTGTATCTCCAAAATTGTAACTTTACAGGAGAAGGAAAATCTTACTTCACTTTTAATGTGAGTCAATGGAACCAGAATTCTTACCAAGCCATTTTGGGCCGTTTCTTTTGGTCCATTCACTGTGAAATTTACACACAATGTGAAGAACAACAGGCTTTTTCAAATTATGTGAAAAACTGAAAATGGAGATACCAGGTTTTGTTCCAACAGCACTTCCACACAGCTCTGTACAACGCAAACAAAAGGAAGCATCTGGCCTGCATAGCAGTGTAGCAGTGTTCTAGGGGTTTACTGATGTGTTTAAGTGGTTCTTTAAGGGTTCTTTACTAAAGAAGGTTCTATGTAGAACCACGAACACTCAGAGAACCATTTGTGCCATTAAAGGGTTCTTTGCATCATTAAATGGTTAAATGTGCTATAGATGGTTCTTTAAATAACCCTTTGGAAAAAGGTTCTACTGTTGTTACAATGTCAAGCCTGTTTGGTGCTATATAGAACCCTTTTCAAAAAGGTTCAATCGGAAAAACCCCTTCATGATAGCAAACCCTTTGCATGATTAAAGGGTTCTTTATGAGTGTTCATGGTTCTCATGGTTTACGTAGAACCATTTTCTTTACTACAGAACTTTTGAAGGACCATCTTTAAGTGTGTGCAGTGGTGCTGAATCAGGGTTAAAGTTGCTCTTTCTGTAAACACACTATACATTATGTACTATACATGCACTCAACCTTCAACTTAATCAAACACATATATATATATATATATATCGCTATTGTTGGAAGAGAACCTTGTATCTCCAAAATTTGTAACTTTACAGGAGAAGGAAAAAAACTTTATTTTTAATGTAAGTCAATGGAACCAGAATTTTTTCCAAATTATTTTGGGCCGTTTCTTTAAGTCCATTCATCAAGAATTTTACTCACAATGTAAAGAACAACAGGCATTTTCAAATTATGTCAAAATCTGAAAAATGTTCTGATAGCAGCGATAGCGATATATATATATATGTGTAAAAGCACAGTTGAGTGTATCATAGTCGTTTGCCCTATGTTGAGTAATTTCTTGCCTTCTTGCCCCTCGTTGGATGTGGCCTACCTCTAAAATACTCAAACTCTGTCAACATACTTGAATTGTCCTTTGCACACAGCAAATAATGTCAAAGCTGCTACTAAATGATGGTGTATTTTTTTTGTACATTTTTGTCTGTACTCTTATTATAATTTTCAAAATGTATTAAATTATTTTCAAAGACTTTCTCAGTCACTTTCTACGACTTCTGTCCAGGGCGTTTACTATATCGGGTGTTGATTTTAATGTGTAAGGAACAGCCTGGGGGACGGGAGGTGGCTCTATAGCACCATCTGGTGGACTTCAAGATCCATGATTTGGTTTTAAATGTAAGAGGACAGAATCTGATATTTTTATATAAAGATAACAGCGTTTCCCCTTAAAGGGTCAATAGTCTGCATTTCCATTGGTTTCTTTTCTTGACTGTGAGCGTTTTATGTGCTAAATATATGACCACGTTCCAAATTATATTCATTTTCAATGGAGTGTAGTGAATAAAGGCACAAAGGATTTTGGGAAATTCCCCAAGTAAGGTCTGTTAAAGCCGGCATCCCAAGCAGACTCTTTGGAAGTCTGCATTTTTCCCTTTATAGCCCTCAGTAGGACCAGCTTCCGACCATCGGAGGCCCTCAGATGAACCTGCCTGGCTCATTTGCACATGGACTTGGAGATCTTAGTCATTCAGAGTGGTTTGGTGTGAAATGGTTCAGATGTCTTTACAGTAGTGGTGATAGGAACCAGGGGTCGCCATGACTACAACACAGATATAGACATTTTATTTACTATCCAGAACCACCAGTGAACCTACACGAGTCTTCTGAGTTTATATGGAATGTTGATGATGGAAAATAGTGGAAAATCTGAAATAAGTTTTCTTTGGGGACTATTTTGCCTCACAGCGCCCTGCATGTATCCCTCCACCATGAATGGAGTTTAAGTTCTCTAAACTATCATAAAACAGTGTCTCAGTCATCAGGCAGTGAATTCATAACCATTTCATGTAGGAACTTTCTGTGAGGGAGCTTTTAGAGGTGGACGTCTGGTTCCTATCACCACCTCTGTAAGTGATTCTGACGTCTCTATAGAACAGAGCGTTTCACACCAAACCACTGAGTGAGCAGTAAAAAAAATAGTAATAACAATAATAATAATAAATCATCCGAGAGCAAACCTGGACACCCCCAGCAAAGATAAATACTCAAACCTGGTAATTAATACAAGGGAAAGAGATCAATAATAATAATAATAATAATAATAATAATAATAATAATAATAATAATAATGAGAAGAAGAAGAAGAAGAAGAAGCAGCCCTCCAGGGCTGGAGCTCAACACCCCTGACATCAATTCAGAGTAAATAAATAAAACACGCACTCAAATTGGCTACTACTAATTTTTATTTCTTAAAAAAAGTCAATTAGGTAATCATCAGATTAAAGAAATCAGTGATGAATCAATAAAGGTGGTGATACATCAGAGGGAAAAGGCCAGCGGTCATTTAAGGGTCATTTGAAGAGGGCGACTAGCGGAGTTACAGCTGAAGACGACGATGGGAGCAGCTAGAAGAGCTAGTAGTGCTGATGGTCCTCAAAGGGCTCCAACCTTTGGCAACAACTTGACGATGAGACGTTCGTTCAGCACAATGGAATCCAATTCGCATGATTTTCGCTCCGTTTCTCTCGGGCGTAGCTGAGGCCGCACGCCCACAGGTCACTCTAAGGGCTTTTCTTAAATACAGCGACACAAAGGAGACGGCTAGCGCCGCAAGTGCGGTGAACACACCCTTTTAAACTGGAATGTGACTCAGAAGCAGAGAGAAGTGACTTCTGAGCGTAAAAACCTTCAGCTACTCCGGAAACGAGGCTTTAATTCCGTTATTTGAATAACTTTCCCCCCTTCGGGGCTAAAGGCATCGATTACGCACTATAAAAGGGTCTTTGAGCGAACGAACAGCGAGAATCTGGCTGAATTTCATGGAATGTTCTCTTTTGAAAAGGAATCGTGATTTAATTATAGTAATAATAATAATTTAAAGATGTCCAAACGTGTCAACACTCGACGGCTCCGTGAGAATGATTACAAAAGGGTTGACGATTCACAACTTGTGCTGTTTTTTTGTGTTTTTTTTTTTCCTTTTTAAGTGTAAACCTTAAGATTAGATAGAAAAATCTGTTAAAATTAACCATTTTTTGTTACAAAGCCCTTAAATGACATCTAAATGTTATGGTTGAAAAAACAGGAGGTAGAATCAAAAAAAAAAAGAAAATAAAAGGAAGAAAAAAAAGAAAGTAAAACAAAGACGAGCACTTCTGTAACAAAACATTCTGCGGCTCCTGTGGTAGCTGATGGCAGGCGGCTGCAGGTCCCAAACTTAAGCTTCTTAATCTCCTTCCTCTTCCTCAGATTCAGACTCTACACGGAAACACAGGGAACAAATCAAATCAGCTTATTTAAAACACATTTATAGGACACTGAATAAAACACTCTGGAAACACAGGAGAGAAAAAGAGCTCTGGAGTGATGTTCCTGGGTTAACTGATGATGTGCAGCAGGCTTTAAGGTACACTTTGTCTCCGTTGATGGGCGTCAGAGGCGTTAGCCAATCAGCAGCGACGTGTATATAATCCCTGCTATATTAATAAGGGAGGGCAGTTGTGGGCTGGACGTTAGGGAACCAGCCCTGTGACCGGAAGGTCGTCGGTTTGATCCCCTGAGCCGACAGTACATGACTGAGGCACCCTTGAACAAGGCACCTAACCCCCAACTGCTCCCCAGGCGCTGCGGATAGGGCTGCCCACCGCCCTGGGCAAGTGTGCTCACTGCCCCCTAGTGTGTGTGTGGTGTTCACTGCACAGATGGGTTTAATGCTGAGGTGAATTTCCCCGTTGTGGGACTAACAAAAGGTAACTTAACTTAAAGGCAGCTCACAATGGAGTCTAACACTCCGCCGCTGCAGCCTGGTGTACCCAACTATTAAAGACGTTAGGAGATGGGTGTTGAGGTATTATACATGTATTTAAACCCAATTTTTCAGGCTCTAAAAATTCTTCGAAAGGAATGCCAATTCTCAGCTGCCGTAGTTCCAAGGCTTGCATAACAAGAGTGTTCAACTTACTATCGTTTCTGTTTAAATAAAAGTTTTGTCAGAGCTGAATGCAGCCCAGGTCTGCAGTAGGGTGGATCTCTAGGAGCAGGCCTTAAAAAAAGCCACTTGGTTCCTCAAAGAACCTTTCAGTTCTTCGAAGAACCTCTCTTTTACGATGTTGTTAAAAGAATCTTTTTTGTTGATTTCTTTTCCTCAATTTTCTCCACAATTTACTCCCAGTCCACAGTTTACTCTTCTCTCCCAGTCACACGACACCACCAGCGGTAGGAGACACAGACACCTGCGCTGACTAGCATTGCGCTAAGTGATGGGGAGACGGGGGGGGGGCATCCTACCCACCCTGGCTGCAGAATCACATGATCTTCCACTGATCGGGCAAATACAGCTCCAATCAGGAGCCCCTAACATGGACCTAATGTACTGCAAAGTGCATCGAAGTTCAACACAAAGCAACAATCTTCACAAAGCTGTTCTGTCCATATCGGTCAGCCTTAATTCTGACGGCTGACAAGTTAAAGTGTCCTGATATCGGTTGAATGAGAGATTAACATAACTGGAAAAACACTAAAGTGATGCAAGATCTGAACTACTAGGGTTTCAAATTACAAACTACAACCTGGAAATTTGCACAGAACTTCAGCAAATTAATCTCAGGCCATTTGGTTTACCTTCTTCCGCGTTCTTCAGCCACTCCACAAACTTTTTCATCTGCTCCAGGAAGACGCTCTTGCCTTTGGCCAAGTGGCCCTCGGTGTACCACTTCAGAATGGCCTCCTCACTCAGAACATCAGCTAGAAAATCAAACCGAAAATCAAATGAGACACTAAAGCTGCTAAATAAAGCATTACACGACTCTAGAAAGCGCACCAGACTGACTGGAAGAGAGGTACGTTTGTTCAGCTGCTGGTCAGTTTATATGGGGTTACAGTTCTGCGCTAGAAGAGTTTATGTACACTAATTAATCTGATCTTAACTTAGGAATTTTCTTATCTTACAGCATCTGATCTCCAGTTAGGAAATCTTAACCTACTCTATCTAAGTCAACAATCAGCTGTCATGTGTGTTGCCTAGCAGCCGACCATAAACACACAGCTGAAACGTAAACGTCAAAATTTTAGTGTAAGCCAAAGTTGCTGATACTGATGTAAAAAAAGGTCAAACAGAACTAAAGAGTGATAAACTAAGTAGTGAATACTGCGAGAGCGCCCCCTGCTGTTTATCAGAGCCGCTCCCCAGTTTCAGTCTCCATTTCCCAAACGCTTTAGCCGAGCGCGCTAACGTTACTCCTCCTAATAAACAGACACACGTTCAGCTCCGCCTCCTCATTATTCACCACCATCACTGTCATATTTCATCATCAACATTAACACACGAAGGTGATCAGAGGGGCGGTGGAGATCGAGTCTGCAGCGTCTGAGATCTTTAAAACGCAGAGTTAGAAAAGAAAATCATCTCACAGTGAAAGCAGCGTTTTACAGTAGAAATAAATGGAGCTCATTATGCTGGTAGTGAACTATGCTGCTGACTCAGCTGCCTAAAAACCATAGAAACGGACCTTAAACAGAAGTGAGGACCCTGTTGGGGTTCATCCTAAAGTTAGGACAGGATTTAGGAGGTTTAGTCTAGTTAGGATGTTTGTGTGATGCTGTTTTCTTATCTGGAGTTCATGATGAGATTATGAAGTTAGCAACTGATGTTCTGGAACAGCTACTGTCATAAACTCAGCCGTCATGGAGACTAAATAGATCAGATTTCAGAGTTAGGACGTTTCTATAACACACAGATCACTAGAATGCAGTTCTTCTAGACGTGGCACAAGAGTTGTAAAACTGCACTGATGCATTACGATGCAACGATTTGAATCAGGGAACTGAACCGCATCGTTAGAATCACAAATCAATTCGAGTTTGACAAAAAACAGGATTCTCAGGCTATTTTTAAACATCACAATTTTTAGGAATTAGCTGTACGCATCACACCTGCATGCACTCTAAACCAGATTCAGGACTTTTTTTTTGAATGCCCCAAAATAACCTAACTGAACTGTCAAAATTGGAATTATGATGCACTGAATCGTTTCCTAAAGAACTGCACTGACTCAAGGCGAGTTACCTTTATAGAGCAGCACCACGATCTTCTGGAAGGCCTTCATGAAGTGGATGTTGTCGTAGCAGTACTCCTGGATCTTCAGAAGCAGGGTGAGCTCAGACAGGCCCTGGGACGTGAATGCTTTCAGCAGGGGGCTGTATTGCTGGAACACCACAAGAGGAACGGTAAACATTAACAAAAAGACTCACTGAACAAAGTACAACCCACCCATCTCCTACCTTTACCAGCCACACCGAGTTACAGCTCTGTGCCCGGAAGGTTGCCGGTTTGATCCCCTGACAGTACGTGACTGAAGTGCCCTTGAGCAAGACACATAACCCCCAACTGCTCCCTGGCAGCCCGTGGATAAGGCTGCCCACCGCTCCGGGCAAGTGTGCTCACTGCCCCCTAGTGTTTGTTCACTAGAGTGTATGTGGTGTTTCACTGCACGGATGGGTGCAAATTGCAGAGGTGAAATTTGCCCACTGTGGGACTAATAAGGGTCATTTATTAATTAATACTGTCCAATATTCACAAATCCTGTAGCCAGACTGTTGACATTCCATCAGCATAACATGTACAAGCAGTCAGTGCTGGCTAAGACTCCAAATCCAGATAAAGCCCGTTTAGGTACAGATCAGTACCTCCAATTAATCAACACACTATCTGTGAGTCCTGATTATACATTACTGCCCACAATAACAGAGCCAGATATTCATAATTACCTTAAATGCTGGATCAGCGTTTACATTGCAGGAGATAAAAGCATACAAATTACTAGAATCAACTATTTGGTCAGTGGAGGGTCAGCGATATACTGTCTTTTCCAGCAACTACACCAAATATCGCGGTGATTGCAAAACTGTGTAGAAGCTGCGTATCTATTTGTACTAGTGCTGGTTCAAACATGATGACTTCAAAAGATCTAGCTGGCTTTGTGTGGAAGTGCAGCTGTTTCATTCAGCATGTCTGCACAGGCTGAGAGCTACATGATCAAACAAGACCTTCAGGAACGAGTCGTTTTCTGATAGAATGGCTGATTGTGCTGGTTTGTTTCTCTTCAGAACATCCTGTTTTCATATCATATTTTACTTCCAGGTTCCTGATGCTAATAGTGGATTTTTAGTACAAGGTAAGAACGTTCACACTGACTGACGTGCCTAGTACAGAAGATTTCAGGCCATCTCAATCAGGCCTACAGCAGAAGATAAGCACATATCTGGCTTCAAGGGAGAGAAACAGAAGCCAAAGAGCGCCACTTTTTCTTCAAGCCGCTCCAACTCATTTGTGTATTCTGGTTTAAATCGATATGGTTCTATTGCTACGTTCACATTACAAGCCTCGCTGCTCAAATCCAATTTTTTGCTCAAATCCGATCTCTCCGACACGACGGTTCACACTCACTTAGGTAAGTGACTCAAAGCTGTCATTAATGTGACGAACCGGCGTCCTGAAATGACCCTCATGAGCTCATCCTACTCAGTAACGTCACGTGAATGAATCACGTTCATCATCAGCACAAACTAACGAGCAGAACGAGCTTCGCTGAGAAGATCATTAACTCTGATCAGCTCTCAGCTTCATTATTAGAGCGAGACGAAGGAGAAAAAGGTGAGATGAGCTGCTTTTCCACCGTTTACAGGCTTTAACTTCTGTTCGGCGCTGTTGCCATGGTAACACTGAAAGATGGCACAGTGGAAAAAAAGCACATGAATTCAGATCTGAGCGTCACATTAAGGCCGCATGGTCGCATACGTATCCGATCTAGGACCACATATGAAAGTGGCTCAGGTTGGATTTGAAAAGATCAGATTTGAGTGTCTACACAGCTCTGAAAACATCAGATCAGAGTCACATTAGGGCAAAAAAGCCTTTTTTAAACAGACCTCAGTGTACTCAAGTCCTCAGTGTACTAATACTAGAAGAAATTAAAAATGATTTCGTGGGCCAGACAGGATCGTGTTGCAGGCCTTGCGTCTGATATACGGGGGTCTACAGGGTAATGTGGTGACACATCACAACTCCGACAACTTGCTCAAGTCTACCAATAGTACTTACAACTTGAGTGCAACTTCACTGTGGCAGATTGTGAAATTCATGAGTTTGGCGATCCCCATAAGGCGCCGGGTGCAGTGAGCGATACGTACCTTCAAGTGTTTGATGGCTTGTTCGGTGACGAGCTCCTCTTTCTTGTTCCACTCGACGGAGCTCATGACGCTGGTCCACACGATGCCGATCATCGTCTGCTCTGAGATGTTGGTCTTCTTCATCTCCTCACGGACGTACGCGATTATCTGCAGCAGCGGAGGAGACGGTTTTTAGCACAAGACAACACTTTACTACAGAAACTGAGCTGATCACGCAGCATACAGACTTACTGATACATGACTGCAGTAAAAATCCACCTGTGGACCGTCTTGATGTAATTATTCACACTTTATTTTATTCCAGTGCAAACCGAAAAGGGAAAAGCTTATCTATCCATCTGTGTCAAAATCTAGAGGGCAGGCGAACAGGCAGTTCAACAGAGTCACTTTAATAACAGGAGCTACATTATGAACCATAAAAGTGGAAACAAAGGTGAATTGCTGGGAGCTGAACTGAACGGCATTAAGGTTTTGTTCACACAGCAGGTAAAAGTGGCCCAAATCTGATTTTCTTACCAAATCTGACTTCGTTTGGCTGCTCACATTATCTTTTAAATGTGATCGATATACACACACACATCAGTCTGAACAGATCAGCTCCTAAACTGAACCTCATGTACAAAAGAACGCTGCTTCACGGCTCATCCAGAGGTGAACAATCACGACTGCCAACGAACGCCTGTCGCTCCTGGAGGATCAGCTTCATCTTCACCAGCATCACAGGAGCCATCATGAAGCTTCACTGACTGACAGCTGGGCTCATCACCCAGAACGTGTTCCCCGTAAAAAGGGCGCGGTCACTTCTTTAGTTCGCGTCCTCTGATTCTCTAAACTTTGCCTTCAGCCTCGTTCTCCTGCGGCCGCGTTCGGACATTTCTTTCGAAATCTCTTCAAACACGGAGGGTCTCTTCTAATTTTTGGACAGAAACATCAGACTAAATGTTTATGAGTCTCAGCAGAGCGAAACGATGACAAATGTCGAGTTGTATTGACGTAAAAGTCTCATGAATTCCGATCTGGCTGTTCAGACAGAGTTGCTTTGCCGCAGATCGGATACGTATCGGATTTCAGTACCACATATGAAAGCGTCTCAAATCAGAATTGAAAATGTCAGATTCGGTGTGTTTCTGTTCACACTGACACACAGACACACATCTGTGTCACATATGACGAAAAAGACCAGATTCGGGCCACTTTTACCTGCTGTGTGAACAAAGCCCAAGTCAAAGTTTGACAACTGTATTTCCAATTTTTATGCTTCCTGCATGTCATGACTTGCGTACTTCTGGCATCTCACTTCCCCATAATTCACTGATGGGAAAATGTTTGTTATTTTTTTTATTATTTATTGTCTATGGAAAACTACAAAGATGACGTTTCTCTGCCATAAAGACCTGTTTGAGCTCTTTATTTAGAAAGGCTGTAATTTTTTTCTGCTAATCTTTCTCTGTGAGAGCTGAAAAGTGGCAGCAATCTTTTTAAAAATGTTCTCGTCTTCTCGTCGGTGCAGCTCTACTTCTCCACCATGCTGTTTGGGGCTGTCGTAAGAGGCATATGAGGGGAAAGTTTTGTTGACATCCACAAAATTTAACCAACAATTTCTGCTTCCATAGTCTACATCTACAAACTTCCTGAAGCATTAAAAAAATTTTTTTTGGAAACGTAGCTGGTCATGAGCCCAAAGTGACAGGAAGCCAAATAAGGAACAATAACCCAATCAATTAATATCATAAATTAACTGATTACAGAATAGGATTATTGGGGATTCACCAACTGTTCTAAAGAAATTTCTTAAACTCAGTTTTCACAAAGACTCGTCGTTCACCAGTGTTCTCTTATGTGGAATTTGTTCTTAGGTAAGAACAGAATCTACACCCACTCAAGAGCACAAAGGTGAGAACAGTTCTGCGCTTTAAGAACACGTCATGAATCTGATGTAGACTTTCTCAGGATCTTTCTCAAGAACACACTTCAGAACAAACTTAGGAAGAGACCGGAGAATGAGGCCCAATGCTAGCTGCAGCCCAGCTCTCAGAAACTAAGCGCAGAAGGCAATAACTGGCTTCAATATTGAAAGGAGTGTGACACGGAGGGGAAGAAAAAGCCTGTAAAGCTGGCGTACATCTTTTAGGGTCTCTCCGCGGGACATCTGCTCCTGCAGCTCTTTCTGGAGCTCCTTGCGGGCGCCAATGGACTGCTGGTTACGGGCGAAGTCGGACAGCTCCTTCAGCCCAGCGTCCGTGAAGTATTTGGAGAAGTGCTCGCAGCTCCGCTTGTTTGCCGGAAACAGCTCCTACAACACAAACAAACAGGACGTGTAAGTATTAAACTAGATCTAATGCAGTCTTAAAAAAACCCACAGAGCATGTCACCACCCCGACTCGGCTCACGAAGGGCTTGATGGTTTCTCTTGATTGAAACCTGGAGGAGGGGACAAAGAGCGGATTTCACATCAGCCCTCTGCTTTGAATAAGAGCAGATTTGTTTTTAATTTTTGCATAATTAAGGGGCTGAGATGTAAACTGAGTCATTCAGGGTTGCTTGGTGGTTTTTATATCCATCTTTTTTTATTTTCACTTTTTTTATAATTTTAATTATTTTAGATTTTTTATTTTACTTGTATAATTCTGAAGTTTAGTCTTTCCGTTAATATCTTGCATTTTTTTATATTAGCTTATTTGTTTTATTCCCAACCTTTTGTTGTTTATGTACCGTTAGGATTGCTGCCCAATGCTCCATTCTACTTGCCAAGTCATTTTGTTCACAGTGGTGGTGATAGGAACCAGACGTCCACCTCTAAAAGCTCCCTCACAGAAAGTTATTATAGGAAATGGTTATTCACTGCCTGATGTCTGAGACACTGTTTATGATAGTTCTGAGAAGATTTCAGCCTTAAAATCAATTCATGGTAGAGAGATATATAATATGCAGGGCGCTGTGAGGCAAAATAGTCCCAGATGAAAACCACTCTGAATGATCTGCATCTCAACCACTGAACTCTGCAGAAATGTTGAAAAATTGGTGGAATTCCCCTGGAGATTAACTCAGTGAGCTCAGCCATCTATGCAAACTTTGTTTTGCAAATATTATTTTGGAGAGGTGTGAAAATCCAACGTACATAAAACATGAATAACTGCTTTGTCTGGCTTTAACCCAGTTTAGAATCGTGGTTTATTGTCTTTCCTTGTTGCTGCTTGCTGTGCAGCCTTCAGCTTGCCAGCTAGCAAAGCACTGACTATCATCAATAATGTATAACAGATGTCTTGCTAAATAAAGCCCAGTTTGAAAACTGCAAATCTAACGTGGCTTTTGAAAAATGTAATTTCCATTTTGAGGTTTAATTAAGGAATTAAGCTGGATTACAACAATTTCTATGGAAGTTCTGCTGCTGAGGTCGACACATTAATGCAACCTCTCGCCCCTTCAGCTACCATTATAAAGGAATGACCACTAACCTTTTAACTGTTGCCCCATTTTTACCTGAAACAGTGTACCCACGGTAAAAGGGGGCGCTGTTCCCACATACTTTGGACTACAGTCATGATTTTGGTCTCATCTGAAAGTCATCTGAATAACTGAGTCTAGACCCGAGGCGTTTATTTTCTCCTGACTCAAAGATCTCTAATCTGATCTCTGACTCTTGGCGTGTTATCAGACCATGTTTGGATTATGGTGTCTCTGTGGAGGCGGAGAGGCTCTGAAGGTGAGGACACACAGATCTTCCAGTGTTCGCTCATTCGGTGCTGATGCTGCAAATGAGACGATCGTCACTGCTGTGAATAACGAATCAAAATGGTTTGCAGCGATAAAATCCTGAGATTTTAAGCTTTAACAATATACTGCATCACCATATTGCCGGACGATTTCATGCATAAAAATGATGTAAGCGAAAGTGAATTTTTTGATACACGTGTGCCGGTACAGTGACCTAGAAAAGCTAATGGGCAGCAGATGTGTTAACACAGGGAAAACCCAAGGTCCCCATGTTTCTAGTTAAGAACCACTGAAAAGAGGAGAAAATACCACTAAGACTACACAGCACTGAATCTCTGGTATTCAGCCGAGTTTCTATACTCTACCATCAGCCTGTTGTCCATGCCAACTTTCCGCAGACTGGCAGCGACCGAGTTGATGTCCTTCTCGTTGATCCAGGATTTAAACAGTTTGACAGCGAAGGCAGCAGAAACACCTACAAACCAAAAACATCGTATTCCTCATTAATGCACATTAAGCCCAGGTACAGCGGCTAGAGACACACCGGAGATCAGCTGGCGTCGTTTACCTTCTTTGACCAGGTTCTCGTTGAAAAGGCTGTTCAGGATGGAGGCTGAAATGTTCCCATTGGCCAACAGGATGCCAGTCAGCATGGCCAGCTTGTTACGCTCCGACTCTGTGAACCCTTTTAAAAACAGCAGCAGCTGCGGAGCCGAAAACAGACAACCAGATAAAACACTCAGCAGCACAAAACAGGGCTACCCATTCAGGGAGCTGAAAATTACAATAACTAAATATCAAATGACAGTTTATGGCCAAACACACAATCCAACAGTTTAACTCAATGTTCTGTTAGCTTAACTAAACTATTAGAGTCCAAGTCTGAACAAAACCTAGCCTTTTTGGTCATATGAGACTGTCTGAAGAGCCACTCTGGTCAAATCACACATATTGTTGACTTTAAGTGAAGTTATCACACCCTCCACAGAGAACAAAAATGCTATTTTTTCTGCACAATTTATCTATGTACTATGTTTAAACACTCAATATCTTAAATTCAGCACCAAAAAAAGTTAGTGCTTTAAAATGTGCAGAACTGTTCTCTGTAGAGGATGTGTTCACCTATTTACACTGAAAACCAAGAAACACATGGAATTTGACAGGGGTGCCAAAACTTTTGCATACCACCATAACTTCAGACCAACTTCAGCGCCTTTTCTGCTCATCATACTTAAGCGTAGTTGTTATTAATGGGTGAAATGGAGCTCTACTGACTGATACGACTGCCAGCTGTCAAACGCAAACAGGCAAATATTGTCAGTTCTCAAGTGTCTCGTTTCTTAAACAGAGGATGACAACTGTGGAACCTTTATCAGCTCATCTTATCAGCCAGCCGGGATCACAAGAGACTTCACTAAACCTCCTAAATCCTGTCCTAACTTTAGGATGAACCCCAACAGGGTCCTCACTTCCATTTAAGGTCAGTTTCTATGGTTTTTAGGCAGCTGAGTCAGCAGCATAGTTCACTACCAGCATAATGAGCTCCATTTATTTCTACTGTAAAACGCTGCTTTCACTGTGAGATGATTTTCTTTTCTAACTCTGCATTTTAAAGATCTCAGACGCTGCAGACTCGATCTCCACCGCCCCTCTGATCACCTTCGTGTGTTAATGTTGATGATGAAATATTACAGTGATGGTGGTGAATAATGAGGAGACGGAGCTGAACGTGTGTCTGTTTATTAGGAGGAGTAACGTTAGCGCGCTCGGCTAAAGCGTTTGGGAAATGGAGACTGAAACTGGGGAGCGGCGACGCTCTAATAAACAGCAGGGGGCGCTCTCACAGTATTCACAACCTATAGTTTATCACACTTTCGTTTTGTTTGACCTTTTTTACATTAGTAACAGCTGCTGCAACTCACATTTTACGTGATGGCTGATTGTCGACTTTGAACGAGTAGATTAAGATTTCCTGATTGGAGATCAGATGCCGTAAGATGCGATAAATTCTAAGTTAAGATCAGATTTGCTTCTGTAACACGAATTAGTAAAAATCTTAACATATCCTGTCAGATCCTAATAGGAGGTTTCTGTAATATGACCCCAGAGAAAACAGAGGTGTTTCTGAATGTGACTCTTCCCACACTCACCTTCTTGATCTCCTCCTCAAACCCTTTCTCCAGGTACTTGTACCGCCTGATCAGCTTGTTAAAAACCTGCAGACAGCGAGTTCAGACATGTTTATTATAAGGGGGAAAAAGGCTTTCATTCTGTTTCAGCCCTGCATTAAACCCAACACATGAATGTACTCGCACTACACAGCATTTAGGAGGTCAGTGAACATTTACTGACTCTTTCGGTCAGTAAAAGTGACTCAGATTAGCCAGTTTGACCTACAGGCACTTCACCAGGGCCCGGATTCATGAAAGTTAATTAAAAATCTGAGTTTTACTTAATTTCATTCTTAAAGGTTATAAAAAAAACTTACCTTTAGAACAAATTTAAGAACAAGTGTTATTATTGAAAACATCAGGTTCTTAAATGTTTAACCTTACGATATCCTCACACTCATCTTAGGCCATAAGAGCTGACAAGAGCTTCCGTCACATCCCACAATTATCAGATTTTCCAAGCAGCACTTTTTTCTGTTGGCTGTTTCCACCTCCATCACCTCTAGATCTTATTTGCATACATTTTTTAAACACTTGCTTCGATGCATTTCCTCCATTTTGCTCCTCTGAGTGGATTAAATAATGAAAATAAGAGTCACTGCAAATTAAAAATGTGTCTTAGCGTTTATGGTGAGCTGTAAAATGCACCACGGCTATATAAGAAAATAAGGAACTAATTAAGATTATCTTAAATGCAATTCTCAAAAAATGTTCTCAAATATTCTCTTAAGAACATTCTTACAAACGTCTTGGTGTTTGTCTTAAGAACCTCTGCGAGTGTTTTCTTTAGAAAGCTTTCATGTATCCGGCCTCTGGTGCTTCAAATGCATGTCTAGAGGACACAACTGCAGGAACTGATCCTCCCATGTACTCAAGAATAATGGTTCTTCAAAAGGTTCTTTAGTAAAGACAATTCTATATAGAAGCATCAACACTCAGACCCCTTCGCATGATTAAATGAAAAGGGGTCTTCAGATTGATGAAGAACGTGCTGTAGAATGTTCTATATAGAACCCTTCAGTAAAGGGTTCTTCTATAATGATGTCAAGCCTGTAACAATAGAAGAACCCTTTTTGATGCTTTTTGTATGACTATAGTTTTCATACGTGGCACTACAGATTCTATTTTATCTGTTCCAAGTTATTAAATCTCAAACTAAATATCGTGATCACATAATGAAAACGTCACCCACTCCAACAAATCATACTACTAGTCAGTTTTACTCGCATGTTTACTACAAACTCAAGACCACTGACTTAAAGGTGACACTTCAGCTGCAATCACTTCGACAGATTCTTTAATAGATCATAGTTATAATTACAGATATTTAAAATTATGGTGTTTAGAAAGTGTGCACTAATTTTTTGAAGAAAACTTCTTCCACAGCCATTTTCAAACATAATTATCCAAATAAAGAGATATGCTTACATAGAATGTTCTTATTTATGTATATAAGAAATATGCTTATATAATACATCTTTAAAAAATACATATACACTTCTATAGAAAAATGCAGGAATATGCTTTAGAATTTACTAAAAGTATTTGTAAAGAAATACACGCTCACATAGAACATTTTATTTAAAACAACATATGCTTATATAGGATATTATAAAAGACATGCATGCTTCGAGAATCTTACTAAAAGACAGTAAAACAAATGATGCACTTAATTGTTTGTAATCAAACCGTTGTGATTTGCTTTACAAGGCTAGAAAGTAGTTACCTGAGCATAAGCTTGCATTGTCTCCAGGTCCTCATTTGCCGTGAAGAGACAGTACTCAGTACGGGTCATGTCATCAGATAGGGTCCCACCTGGGGCTACAGCACAGAACAGACATAATTACTCCAAGTGAAAGACCTTAACATTCTGCAGCTCTTTAAGTGGAATTAAAGTACACTCTGATCATTTGTACCACCAGTAACCACTGAACTACTGTAAGAAAAGAACTGCAGAAACCCCTCAATGTGGAACACTGTACAGTTTAATAACAACCAGTATAACCTTATTACCCCATACAGGATACCATACAGCACATTTGTGCCATTGACTGCATAAATGTATTTGTATATTTAATTATTACAAGCTCATGAATAAACATGTGCTAATAGTATTCTGAAAAGATCCAGTATGCAAAATTATATATCAGAATTACCAGAAGAGGCAACACAGGTTTACCTTAAAAATAAGATCATATTGGTTGAACTGTATTCAATCATTAATGTTCTAAATCCACCTTCACAACTACACGGATTATCAGTGCATCTGTGACTTGTTCTGCTTAATCTGTGCTTGATGGCCCAATTACATCACAGGGTGTTTTGAAATTCTCAATTTAAATTAAATACTTTAGGATTTTCAATATCACAGCGTACAATATCTGATTTCTTGACTTAATCCTTCACTGTGGAGCTCACTACCACAAAACCACACAAACATCTTTAGTCAGAAATTTTAAAAGCCAGATTAAAACATCTTTTTACTTTTGCTTTTATCGAGTTTTATTTTTTGTATAATTATGAGCAATTACTCTTTATTTAATTCACCCCCCAGAAATACAATTCCTTGTCCACCCAGTTCCATTATTATTCTCTTTACTCTTTATGCTCTCTTTTTATTTCTGCCTACTTTATGTCTATTTTTTTATTCTATTTTTATTTCTGCCTAATATATGTAAGTTTATTTGCAATTATACGTCTTGCTACTGTAACACTGCAATTTCCCTTCAGGATCAATACACGTTTATTTTTACATTAACCATTTAAAAAAATCATTTCCTTTTTTAATGCTTTTATTCAATATATATATTTGCCTTACTCCTCAAAAAGCATTCGCTATGTAAACAATAATTTCAAAGTTCAATAATTTAAAATGCAAAACGCAATTTCAATAAATTATTTTAATAGTTTTACAATATTATTAACAATAATAAGCTGCTCCCATATTGGATATAGTTATGCAGCAAAAAGGTAAATTTCCCTTAAACACAAAGCGTAATAATCATTTATTTTATTGTTACTTATTATAATTATCACCACCAGAGGATTAGAAGGAGCTAAAGCCTGCAGCACACGTTCTCCGTGCAAACTGGTCTTTGTCCGAGAGCGGTTCCTTACCCAGCATTCCACCGGCCACCAGGATGTCGAAGAGTGTCTCTGCATACCGGCGATAGTCGAGCTTGGCACCAGAGGCATCAAGGAACTTCGCAACCGCGTCCAAGTCAGTGCCAGTTTGGTTCAAGCCTTGCACGATACTTTCTTGAAACTGAGAGGGATCAAATCTCTCCTTTTCATCTGATAAAGAGGGAAAAACCCAGTTTAACACATTGGCAGCGTTACAACATCTGCAGCAGATATGAGTACATCTCACCCCGCCCGTCGCTCACCTCTTTTCCGAGTCTTAAAACGCTGGCCGGTTAGCGTTGGCTTTTGCTGCTTTTGATTATTCATAAAAGACACCTGTTAATGACAAAAACAGGGAACGCGGTTAGCGGCCAGCACAGCTGACAACATACTGACCTACAGGGGCCACAGGTCACATTACAGAGACACTCACATGCTGTAATAAACACCTGTATATACAGGTCTCCACTACAAGGACTGACATTTAACAGTGCGCCAAGGCATCATAAACTACTGCCAGTTAGCAGCTTGTTAATCATAATCAGCCCACAATTAAAATAAACTGATACTGTCAGTCATCCTGAAACCAAAACTGACTTTCCGGCAATATTAGGCAATGCACGGGCACAACTCACTACATTATATACCACATATTATACATTTAAAGGACAAAATTTCTTCAAATTTCACCTGGTTTTCCTCAAAGGCCATTTAAAATGACAATTCTCAAAATTGCACTGATTTTTGATCATGTCCCAATACAAATTATGTACATTAGGTCTTAAAGTTTAAGGCTAATAAGTGTCAAGTGTTTATAGCAAACTGCAACACAGTACCGGCAATTACATACATACATACATATATACATATACATATATATATATATATATATATATATATATATATATATATATATATATATATATATACACACACACACACACACACACACAGACACCTTTTTTGTCCAAGCATCTCGTTTACAGTCTTTCTTGGCAACAACCAAAACTAGGCATCTGGGTGCGCCTTATCTATTTTTGTATTGTTTATAGCTCAATTACACTGTTTAAGATTACAAGCCACTTTTGTAGCTTTGCTTTCAAATAAACTGTGTTTATCGGAGCCAAACCAACAGCAGTCTATAATTAAATGCAGGATGGAGCTATTTTTAACACAAAATATGGGAAATCAAATCAAGTTCTGACCTCAGGATAAAGAAAATCGCACCAAACTTGATAATGTTACATCCTTTCTTCGTTGTCCTTTGATAAAAACATTTTCTTTATAGAGGAGCCTGTGTCCCCTTTAGCTATGAGCCCATCAGAAAGAGCGGGCTGGGCTCCTTTCACTGGAAAACATGGCCTGCCTTCATCCAGAGAGGGAGAAGGAGGAGATACGGCAGGCTACACGTTTCTCCTCTGCACCGACTGATCTCCAGCCTCATTTTCTGGGCTTTTTGAGTGGTTATTAACCACCGATTAAAGCTGCTGCTGTAAAACAAACCCCTTCTAAGGCCTGCTTGACTATTTTTAAGCTTCGATAATGCAAGAACACCGACATTTCAGGCTTTTAAGGTTTATAACATTATTACACAGAACCTAAAGTGACATTGCAATCATTGGATTATAAGGTGTGGCCACAAATTAATATAACGAGGCCACCGGTTCATAGACAGTAGCTATGGCTACAAGTTAAAGCAACACTATGTACGATTTGGGGATTTGGAGACCCCTCTGGTGGAAATATGTAATTGCGACGCACGGACGAACATCTTTTAACATAGTTTGTGCTTTCAGACCCCCCAAGCAGATGAATCTGACTTTTGCGAGTTTGTTGAGAGAAAATTTAAAGTAAACTCAGTGTAAACTTGGTGAAGGAGCGTCTTCTGAGGATGCGAGTGAATTATCTACCACTGTCACCACATCCTCATCAGTATGATGTTGATTTTGAGATCATGTGAGGTCTAAACATCGAGCCGGACCTTTTTTTAGAGTCTGTGTGTGACGTTGATACAGAAAGACGTACGACGTGGTGTGAAAAACTCAACGCCTCTGACTTTTAAATCAATTATTACAGGCTTTACAGGGCTAATCACAGTGTTCCTTTTCCTCCATACACTAATGATACTTTTCAGCTTTTTAAAAAAAAAATACATAAAAATACTTACATTGTGCTGCTTTAATGCATTGAGGCCACATGTTAATGCATCAAAGCCACCAGTTAACACATTGAGGCCTCTAGTTAAAACACTGAGGCCACAAATTACTACGTGGAAGGCACAATTTAATGCATTGAGAGCACAAATTTATATATTAACGAAACAAATTAACACATGAGCCCACAAGTTAACACAAAGTTAACTCGTGGCCTCGATATATTAATTCTATGTTAAACCTCAGGGGCAGGGCACATTATAGCACCGCCATTTCACATTATTTTACATTTTATATCATAAAAAAAGTTAGTAATTACATCGTATACTGGCATTAAAACACTGTTTATGGAGTTTTATTCGTACGTTAAACGCTCTGTAACCTCCGTTAAGGGGAACTTGTGCTAAGCTAAGGCCGCAAACTTGACAATAACGGGAGCCACGAACGATAAACTACCACAAACCAACACCGCTAACCTTCATGTTTAAGAGGTACAGCTGGCTTTATTGCATATTTAATGTAAATATTGTTATTATTTAATCAAATTAAACACATTTCGCTCCGCCCGCTTTGCCGAACCGACTTCCAGCACGTTAATTAGCGGTTAGCCTGAAGCTAAGCTAAGAAAAGCGGCCAACCAAAGACATTTATCACCAAATAAACCGCCATCCGCGAACGACAGCTGGTGTAAAAGGAGCCTTAATGCTCTGAGAGGCTGTGACAGAAGGAGAAAGTGAGTTTTCAGACGTAAAACGGTTCAAACTCACCGAAATTAATGCAGATAATAAACGGCTTCAGTCAACGGCGAACAAAGCGGTCGAGTCCACACAGCTACAGGCCCGCAGCGCATGCGCAGACGGCGTTTTACAGTGCCGGCGCGTGCGCAGCACGAGGCGTGGACCTCAACCACTGACTAAAACGGTTTTATATTTGCTGAATATACAAAAAAAAACACCACCGTGGATGACGAATAACGAAATAACAATAATAACGTAGGACTAATAAATCGGTATTAAAACAGGCTTCGCTCGCTTGTATGGCGTTCTTCGCGTTTGACCGGGCGGCGCATTTGTGAGAGTGGAGGGGGGGACAGAAGTTTAGGATGCTGTTTTTTTCTCATTTTCGCGCCTAAAATTAAATAAATACTAATTTAACATACCTACACAAGTGTATACATATATACTAGATCAATTTACATATATGTATCTTCGCTTAATCGTGTTTGTTTAAGCCGTGTGAGAGTAGACTCCCCCCTTTTGACCGGCTTCAGTCGCCCACGCTGTTGTCATCAGGCTGTGATTTGGTGTGTAGGCCCAACATGCGGTGCTCTCAGTTTAGAAGAGTGAAGATGTAGTTTTAGGGGTTTAAATACCTTTTCATGTAACCCAGTCTATCATATGACAATCCTGAACGTTTTATTAAAGTGTTCTCTTTAATTTGTGGTGGAACTTTTCAGCGTATTTCCCAAGTAGGCACAACACAGCTACCACTGTACTGACACTTTCACTGTGCACTGTACACTGTAATGCTGATGTAACCCTGAGTTAGTTATGTCTGTAATCTGTGCTTTTAGTTTACCTCATACCAATCAGTGCCTGCTGCCATGTAAATACAACAAATCTGTACACATATAGATTGACATCTTGTACATCTTCTATCCATATCTTGATTAATCTGGAAGATTCCTATATCAATATTGTATCCTTTGTGTACCTGCATCTCATTTATTATCTACCTCAGACTAACTGCACATACGGAATGTGTACAACAGTCCATTTCATAGCATTATTTCATAACTTATTACTGTATAACTGTATAACTGTACATTGGAAATAGTACACTACTAGTGTATATTGTGTATATGTGTATATTGAATCGGTGTATACATATTTCTTTCTGTTTGTATATATGCCTATAGATTTTAATTTTTTTGTATTTATTCTTCTTTTTATATTGTTTTACCCTTGTTATTAATACTGTCCTGTGTTGTGTGACTGATACTGGCTGCAAAATTTCCTTCAGGATCAATAAAGTATCTATCTATCTATCTATCTATCTATGTAAATATGCAAATACATATGCAAATAGAAATACTTTTATTTCTCTTGTGCTTTAACTTATGTCTAGATGTATTTCTAGTTTCTATTTTTCTGCATAGTATATGTAAGTGTATGTGCAGTTATATGTCTGGCTACTGAAACACTGCATCTATCAACACATTCTGCTGTACTTAAAAAGATGGTTCCTAATAGGTTCTTTATTAAAGGAACCATGAACAATGGACTCTCCAAGAAGACAACCAAACAGGTTCAGATGAATCAGAATGCAGCTGCCAGAGTCTCACTAGGAGTAAAAGAAGCCCCCCCCCCATCTTAAATCCCTACACTGGTTCCCAGTCAGTCAGTCCTGCTGAAGGTGAAGACTAAACATGGAGAAGCAGCGTTTAGATACTATGCCACTCTTAAATGGACCCAGTGGACAGAGAGCATAAGAAGAGCCCCGACACTGGACACTTTACATCAGCCTGAAAACGATCCTGTCTGAGCAGCTTTCAGCTCAGTTTAAACACTGATAGCGTTTCTAGACCCTTTTCCTCTCTAACAGCACTTTATTATCCTGATTTTTACATTTTTTACATTTTACATTTTAACTGAATTTCTCTAATCAACAGTTACCAGAACATTTACTTGCAGTTATTGCTGCACAAGAGGGCCACACCAGATACTGAAAGCAAAGGTCCACATACTTATGCCACTCAGATCTGTAATATTGGATCATTTTCCTGTCTAATATTTTTTTTCGTGTTTATTTAATTTGGTTCTCTTTATCTACTATTAGGAAATCTGATGTTTTAGAAATATGTATTAAGAAATATAGAGAATTCAAAAGGGTTCACGAATTTTTAAGCCCCCCCTGATAGCGAGAGGATAGTGGACCACTGTTGGGCCGCTAATGGCAAAGCTGGCGGTCCACTGGCATTTCGCTCAGCCTTTTCTGGGTGGCCCACCGGCGGTTAAGCAGAGTATTAGCCAAAATTCCACTTATCATCACTCATTTTCCACTCATAGTACAGTTTACTGATTTTTCCTTCCTTCCTTTCTTTAGTTATACTTTGTACATTATTTTAGTAGATAGTTTTAAACCAGCGCAGTGTCAGCAACAACATTTTCTATAAAATCATTTTATATCAGGCCTAATCATTTTTTTTTCTCTCAGTTGTTTGTAATATTTGTCTAAGTCTATTTTCTAAAATAAAAGTCTCTGTGCATCTAAAATCTGTTTGAGGAAATTAAAAACTAGTTAAAGTTTGTATGCAGGACTGTAATCTGGGTGGTCCGAGGTTGGACCAGCAATGGCAAACAGTCAGTGTGGTGCCGACCTTATTAAGCCAGAGGACCGATATATGCTCGCTAACTGGGCCACTGTCCGTGCGGAAAAACTTATTGGCTTTGGAACATTTTTGTTTTCCATATGATAAGATAACAGCGATTTTATAAAACTCTGTTCATTTTTTCCATACAGACAAAACAGCTGAGAGCTGGTTTTCCTTGAAATGTCATTACACTGACTACAAAATGACATTACAGATTCTAAAAATTACAGATTCTAAACTCCTGTTTAGTGACCAATACAGTCTGTGCTGTATTGGTCAGTTTAGAGACTGAATTATTGCTCCAATATAGCTGTGATGTGCCCAGCAGTGGACTACAGACTGTCCAGGTCATTCTTTTCTTTCTCCATGGCCACTTTGTTCTGTGAGTGCAGATATCACTGTAGATATATGAGCAGGTTGTTTTGTCTGGACTGAAACTTCTGTTTCTTTTTATGAAGCCTGTGAGACACAACACAGTCTCTGTTAGGGACACAGTATACATGTAGCAACTTCAGAAACTGTGAGAAAGAATGAGAATTATTTATCTACTGCCAAAAAGATGAACCTGAAGGTTTCACGTTATGCATGTTACTCAGTGTTAAAGCCCATTATAAGGAAAAATGGTTTAAGCCCTTAAAATCTCAGGCTTATTACATACTAAGGATTATTACTCAGTAACTACAGGGACTAAACTAAACTGCCTGAGCTATTCTTAGGTTATAGAAGTGTGTAATAAAACTTTGGGCCATTTAAGGGGATAAAAAATGTCTTAGGAAAGCCAAATATCTCACAATTCCTGATGATCATATGATCCTGATGATACACATTGCCTACTGCCATACAATAAAATACAACAGTTTACATCGGATTTTTTAGGTGCCACGTCATTATTTCACCTTTAAACTCACTAACTCATAATTTTGAGTTGATATTTCATCATTTTGCCTTAGTAATTTGTAATGTTGAGTTGTTATAGTTATTTTGAACTATTATCTCATTATTTTACAGAGATCTGCTGGTGACATCCTGTATAAATAAAAATAATGCATGGCCACGACTTAGTAAGGTGTGGGAATGAGATAATTAAGTCGTGGCCATGACTTAGTAAAGCTTGGGAACAAGATCCTAATGCGTAACCATGACTTAGTACAGCATGATCCGTTCCCACGCCTTACTAAGTGGTGACCACGACTTAATTATCTCATTCCCACGCCTTACTAAGTCGTGGCCACGCATTACTTTTATTCACATGGGATGTCATCAGCAGGGCTCTGTATTATTTCAGCTTCTAAATTACCTAAGAATGAGCTCAAATGGATGATGAACCTTGGGAGGTGGCGTTTCACAACATCTAATACATCACATGGAATCACAGGTTCATTGTGTAAAGTTCCTGTTCCACTGCTAACCTGGTCCAAGTTCAGTTCTATGCAGCTCAGGAGGAAGTTATTCCACCATGGCATCTAGAACCGAGCGCAGTGAGCTGGTCTTTTGCATTAACAGCAAAAAGCTACGAGATTTTACAAGTGAAATAACATTAGAACATAATAACTCAGAGTGATAGAACATTAATCAAATAAACTATTTTGATACCTTTCACTAATTTAATTCAGTTTCAGACCAGCCCTCAGATGTCTTTACAGTGGAGGTGATAGGAACCAGACGTCGCCATGACGACAACACAAATATAGACATTTTATTTACTATCCAGAACTACCAGTGAACCTACACGAGTCTTCTGAGTTTATATGGAATGTTGATGATGGAAAATAGTGGAAAATCTGAAATAATAAGTTTTCTTTGGGGACTATTTTGCCTCACAGCGCCCTGCATGTATCCCTCCACCATGAATGGAGTTTAAGTTCTCTAAACTATCATAAAACAGCGTCTCAGTCATCAGGCAGTGAATTCATAACCATTTCATGTAGGAACTTTCTGTGAGGGAGGTTTTAGAGGGGGACGTCTGGTTCCTATCAGCTCTGACTTCGAATGACTTTTTTTAAAATGTTGACTGTGTTATTAAAATCTGCCTTATGATGTCAAAGCTCAGCATTGGAAAAGGTTTGATATTAGAAAGCAAAACAATTATGTTTTAATCTTCATTGTTTCTAACAGTCCTTTTTCAGCAGGGAAGAAATACAAGAACATCCACCACCAGATTCTCCATCCAGCAATCTGCAGATCTAGTTAGTTAACTCTTAAAGCCAGGAACAGTAGAAGAACCTTCTCTGATGATTTATCATGCATTCCTGCATTTAGACTGTGAAAATAAGTGCAGAGTGGTCAGCATGTGACGTGATGTGATGTAAGATTTATCAGATACTCCACTCACGACTGCAGCTCAGCAGAAAGATACATTACATATCTATACATACGAGATAGGTGAAGTTCTTCCACCATGGCGTCTCCAGCCAAGAGCAGCGAGCTGATTTTCTACATTAACGGCAAAAAGGTAGGAGATCTGCAGCAGCATATAATAGAAATAATATACATGTTAATAATGTTTTATTTGCAATAAGTGCTGAAATCTAATACTGCATGTAACTGTCTATAGCGATGCAGTCTAGTCTACTGCTATTATTTTCATCCTCTGTGAAAGAAAAATGCATTTAAGTGCACTTATATAATTTAAAAATACATATTTTAATGTTTACACTTTAATACATGCTAAATGCATTAACTTGGAGCAACTTATGACAATTTAAGTGTATTTAAATTGTAATTAACCCACTATTGCATGAATTATTACTTGATGATAATAAAAATGTTTTAATGTGTTGTTTTTATTTAAAATTGTTTAAATAAAGGAAATATTTGAAAAAAAAAGTTTTAAAGTGGGGTATTTGGTAAATTGTTGCCATTAGGCAATGATGCGCAATCGGACCATAAAATCTAGCACCATAAAATCAAATTTTTCTCTAAAAACACACTTTTATTATAAACAAGACTAAACAAATTCAGCTTATATTTAGCAAAAGGTATGAAGCAGTATTTACAAATCACTGTTCTCGGAAGAAAACCTCGTATCTCCATTTTTATTGTTTTTCAGTTTTTGACATAATTTGAAAATGCCTGTTGTTCTTTACATAGGGTGTAATTTCATGATGAATGGACCAAAAGAAACGACCCAAAATGACTTGGAAAAAATTCTGGTTCCATTGACTTACATTAAAAGTAAAGCAGGTTTTTTCCTTCTCCTGTAAAGTTACCATTTTGGAGACACGAGGAAAATGAATATAACTTCAATCGTTATTGGAATGTATGGTAATAATAACATCATAATAAGCTTCCCTGGTCATTTTTCACAATTGAATAGTAAAACACAGATTTTTTATCACTGCCTTTTAGTAAAATTGGGATAAAATAATTGTTGCCATGTGGCAACACCGTGCAACATTAGAAATGCATCTAGTTGCTTTTTGAGTTATATAGCAACTAAGGTGCATTTTAAATTACTAAACACACTTAAGTGTACTTCTGTAAAACATAATTAAGTACACATGGAATCATATTATTAGGAATAACTAAGCACAGCATACATATGCTCAGATATGCTTAAATTATATTTAAGTGATGTTAAAATACATCTATGTCCGCAAGTGCTTTTCTGGTCTAAACTGTTGCAATGAAGTTAACTTAAGTTATTGTTGAGAGACAAATTCTACTACAGTTAAGTGTAAATTTGTAGAGATACATGAATTTGATCACTAGTTTGAGTTATATTGCAGCTATAATGTACTTAAGCATGCGTCAAAACCTATAGCTTTAAAATATACTATTCTAAATAATACACTTAAGTAGAAGAAAATTACCCATCAGAATCCTAACATTTTTGGCAGAATCTTTGGTATTTTGGGTCAATTTCAATTGCAGTTATAAAGTATTTACATGTGACAGTCACACATGCCATATGCTGTTATTTTCAGGAGACCCCGGGCTGCTCAGATATGCCATTGTTTGACATGTAAATTCTAACAGATATTTGATATCTTAATGAATTTGGGTCATTTCTGAGCAAAAATTTGATGAAAAATTTTGATGGTGATTCATTCTGTTGGTTATTATGAGTAGAAATAAACAATTAGCATAAGGCAAACTTCTTTTATTGATTTTCTGATTCAGGCTCAGTGCTAAAACACTGATACACAGCAAGACTGGCTTTATTTTTAATTACAAATTGAGTTGCATATTTAATATCAGATATTTTTAATACTCAAAATCAATGGAAACTGAAAGACAGAGCTAAATATTATTCATTTTATAATAATATTTGTGATATTTCATGTTATTTATCTGTTAAAATGTGTTTTAGGGCCTGTTTTTTTTATGTTTTTCATCCTCTAACATGTTAAATTCAGTAAATAAACACTAACTGTACATTAAAATATGCAGAGGTGTGTTAATGTATTTAAACTCAGAAAATGAACAACAACAACGCCCAAACTTTTGCGCTCGACTGCACTGCACATCCGCCTATTCAGCCTGCAGGCTTTTAGCTCCGCCCCCTCATGCTGAAGTTGTAAGGAGTGTTTCATAGTGTGTTTTAAATGAGGCACAGCCAATCAGAACAGAACTCGTTTACATATTTCAGTCTTAAAGGCACAGTAGCAAAAAGGGAGCCTGTTTAATTAAAGGTTGGAAAGTGATTATAAAAATGAACCATGACTATTTTTAGTACATCAAACATCACAAACATCTTAAATGGCCCTCAGAGAGAGAAAATAAAGTGCCGTTTAATGACTCTGCTGGGTGAACGGTGGAGGTGGCGGAGCAGCAGGCCATGATGTACGAATGAGAGTGAACGTGTGACCTTCCATTAAGTCTCCTTGACCAAATGCTCTGCAACACATGATACTCAGCAGAGAGTCAGTGTGTCACGCTCACTGACACTCATCCACACGTGACACCGTCATCCGTGAAATGCTGGCTTCATTTATTCTTTATTCCAGTCACTTGAAAGCAGCCTGATTTAGACCTCTTTAGAAACGGCTTGTGGAAAAAAATATATATTCCATATATATATATATATATATATATATATATATATATATATATATATGTGTATTTGAAAATAGCCAAAAATATATTGTTAAATAAGTTAATGCATTTTAAATGTATTTACCAAATGTTTTATTAAATATATTTTGAAATGCATGAAAATGGCCTAAAATATTATATTGTTAAATGTTTTAAAAATGCATTTTAAATGTATTTACCAAATGTTTTTGTTAAATATATTTTACAATGTATGAAAATGGTCCAAAATATATTGTTAAATACATATTTTAAAACACTTTTATTAGTATTAGTTACTATCTGTGTTCAGTTGAGTGTAATGAAGGTTCCAGATGTAACTAAATGTTCTTCTGTGATCTGCACTGTACTTTACATTAACCATGTACGTCTGCAGTCAGACTCTCACACACAATGTATTTCACATAAACAAGATATCAGATCATAACTGGATTTTCACAGAATATCAATACCCACAACACTCGCTTCTGTCCTGTTAAAGGATCATTTGATCAGATTTAAAATGAAGATACTGGAACACAAATTCATTTCTAAAGGTATCAGACAGTGAAGAGCATCAGACAGGATTCTGGATATTTTCATACGTTTTCAGATGGATTTGATAAAAAAAATTATATACATTTATTTTTCTCTGTGTGTAATATTACTTTATACATTTTAAAATAAATGTGTTTTAAAATATATTTGGTTATTATGGAAAAAAAAATTCAGAAATACACTTTAGTGTTTGGAATGTATTTCAAATATATAAAAATACACATATATATTCATGTATCTTGTTCCATGTGGGAACTAATAAAACGTGTTAAGTAAACATTTTCTGAATATTTCATCACAGATTTGAGCACCAAAAACAGCCCTACTTCATTTCCAGATCATCATTGTCCAACCTTTATTATCCCTGTGCCTTTAAGACTGATATATGTAAATGAGCTCTGATTTGATTGGCTGTGCCTCGTTCAAAAAGCACTCTGAAACACTCCTTATAACTTTAACAGGAGTGGGTGGAGATAAACTGCTGCAGGGTGAACTTTGAAATAAGTGAGAAAATATGATTTTGCATAATGGGTTCTCCTTCTGAGTCTTGGTTCCACTCAGAGGTTCTTCCTCATGTTCTTAGAGAGGTTTTCCTTTTGAGTCTTTATTCTTCTCAGTGGTTCTTCATCATGTTTTCAAAGAGGTTCTCCTTCTGAGTCTTGGTTCCACTCAGAGGTTCTTCCTCATGTTCTTAGAGAGGTTTTCCTTTTGAGTCTTTATTCTTCTCAGTGGTTCTTCATCATGTTTTCAAAGAGGTTCTCCTTCTGAGTCTTGGTTCCACTCAGAGGTTCTTCCTCATGTTCTTAGAGAGGTTTTCCTTTTGAGTCTTTATTCTTCTCAGTGGTTCTTCATCATGTTTTCAAAGAGGTTCTCCTTCTGAGTCTTGGTTCCACTCAGAGGTTCTTCCTCATATTCTTAGAGAGGTTTTCCTTTAGAGTCTTGGTTCTTCTCAGTGGTTCTTCCTCATATTCTTAGAGAGGTTCTCCTTCTGAGTCTTGGTTCCACTCAGTGGTTCTTCCACATGTTCTTAGAGAGGTTTTCCTTTTGAGTCTTGGTTCTTCTCAGTGGTTCTTCCTCATATTCTTAGAGAGGTTCTCTTTCTGACTCTTGGTTCCACTCAGTGGTTCTTCCACATGTTCTTAGAGAGGTTTTCCTTTTGAGTCTTGGTTCTTCTCAGTGGTTCTTTCTCATATTCTTAGAGAGGTTCTCTTTCTGACTCTTGGTTCTTCTCAGTGGTTCTTCCTTAGAAAGATTCTCCTTTTGAGTCTTGCTTCCTCTCAGTGGTTCTTCCTCATGCTTTTTAAGAGTTCTCCTTTAGACACTAGGGCCTTCTTAGTTGTTCTTCCTTACAGAGGTTCTCATTTTGAGTCTTGGTTCCTCTCAATGGATCTTCCTCATGCTCTTTAAGAGTTCTCCTTCTGACTCTTTGTTGTTCTCAGTGATTCTTCCGCATGCTCTTAGGGAGGTTCTCCTTCTGAGTCCTGGTTCTTCCCAGTGGTTCTTTCTTATGCTTATAGGAAGTTTATCCTTTTGTGTTTCAGGTGGTGGAGAAGAACGCAGATCCAGAAGAGATGCTTCTAGGTTACCTGAGGAGGAAAGGTATTGTGTCTGATTCAGTCTGGGTCCTGAATCATTTTGATGTCATACACAATGAGTTTTGAGCTGTTATTGATAATTTAATTTATGTTTACTGATATAAACAACTACATGTAACAGTGTCTACAATGGCTTGAACTGTGGCTTGAATTGTGTTCTGATATTCCTATTTTGTATGTGCAGTAGGTCTAACAGGCACTAAGTATGGCTGTGGAGAAGGTGGATGTGGGGCCTGTACCATCATGGTGTCCAGATATGATCCTGTCCAAGACTCTGTCCAGTATCCTTCCAGCAAATGACCTGAGTCAAACAAACTGAACATTCAATGTCAAAGGCATTGAAAGGCAAAGCAAAACCCCCATATGACAGCAAAGGCCTTGCAGGAAGGTTTAGCTGACACAGCAGTGGTAGTGCAGCATTCTACTGTGCAGCTTTGCTTGCACAAATATGATCTGCAGGGAAGAGCCATCAGAAGGAAACCTTACCTGCAACCTCATTACAAAAGTCAACGTCTGAAGTACGCAAAACAACGTCTAGATAAGCCAGAGGGGTTTTGGAAACAAGTGCTGTTGAGTAAATATGGAAAGGCATGTTTGGTAAAAAAGGAGCAGCATTTGATGAAAGGAACACTGTGCCAAATGTTAAGCATGTGGGTGGATTTATTTATTTTGGGATGGTGTGGCAGCCAGTGACCTGAACATCATTTAAAACCTGTCTGGGGAGGGCAAAACAAAACGTGGGGAGGGCAGACGGGACCGATGGGACTAACATGCATGCGGCCGGACCGGCTATGAAAACATAACACAGAGAAGATTTTTAGAAAATATTTGTTTGTTGCTATAGTAATGTTTTAAATGTTGGGTATATATCACCTTTACATTTATGAACTATAAACGTAACTTCGCATTAACATTTACAGAAAATAACATTATTATTTAAATACTTTGCCACAGAGGTTGTGTCTACTTTGGAGATATTTCACTTATTAATTTTAAAAGTGTCCCCAAACCTCACTAAGGATGTGAAATCTGAATGCAAGAGTGCCTCCTTATCGTCTCTCTCAGTCACTCTGCAGTGACCGCCTGCCTGCTGCCCATCTGCTCTCTGTACGGAGCCGCTGTGGTGACGGTGGAGGGAGTCGGCAGCACCAAGACCAAACTACACCCCGTCCAGGTGAGTGTGGGGTCAGAGTTCACTGCTCAGACAGCCAGAAGGGGTATCCACATCCTTGATGTGGACAAATTCTGCAGGATTAGTATTGACTGATATGATAAGGAGTTTTCAGACAACCTTTATAATAGTGACATGCATCACAGCTCATACTTAAAAAGAAGCAGGGGGCTCCTTGGGGGCGGGTTAACACATTTGATGGACAAGTAGGCAAACACAGTTGCAAAACACTGAAGCGGTGGATTAACATGTTGAAACTGACAGTATATAATAGTGATAATCACCATATTGTGCAAGGGAACATGATGGTAGCGTTGTCACTTCACAGCAAGAAGGGTCTGGGTTTGATTCCCCGGCCGGGTAACCAGAGTCCCTTCAGTGTGGAGTGTACATGTTCTCCCCGTGTCTGTGTGAGTTTCCTTCCGCAGTCAAAAGACATGCAGTCAGGCCACTTAGAGATACTAAATCGCCCCTAGGTGTGAGTGTATCTGTCTGTATGTCTGCCCTGTAATGGACTGGCAACCTTTCCAGGGTGTTTCCCTGCCTTCCGCCTAATAAGCACTGGGATAGGCTCCAGCGCCACCCGCGACCCAGGAGAATAAGCGGCTTAGATGATGAATGAATGAATGATACATTACAGCCCTGAAATTAACCTGTTTAAACCACAGTACAGTACAGAGAGCCTGCAGTGGGATGTTGAAGCCTTGTGTGTGTCTGTGTTCAGGAGCGTATAGCGAAGGCTCACGGCTCCCAGTGCGGCTTCTGTACTCCTGGGATGGTGATGTCCATGTACACACTGCTGAGGAACAAACCAAAGCCCACCATGGAGGAGATCAGAGAGACTCTGGAGGGTAATATATGCTTAAAAATGTTCTATATGTGTCATACATACTCTTAAAGAAGATGGTTCTTCAAGGCAAGACAGTGGCTCTACATGAAACCATGAACACTCAAAGAATCATTTGCATGCTTAAATAATTCTCTGCATGGTGAAATCGTTCTTCAGATTAACGGACAATGTGCTGTAAGGTTCTATGTATCACTAAAAAGCGTTCTGCTATTGTTACAATGTCAAGCTTGTAACAATAGCAGAACCCTTTTTGATGCTATATAGAGTATACTTTCAAGGTTCTATATAGAACCATATACAACACATTCTCTATCAATCTGAAGAACCATTTTACCAAGCAGAGAACCATTTAAGCATGCAAATGGTTCTTTGAGTGTTCTTGGGTCTATATAGAATAATTGTCTTTTCTAAAGAACCCCTGAAGAGCCATCTTGTGTATATAAGTATGTATATAAGTATGAGTGTATATAAGTATGTATATATAATTTAATAATAATGCCTAATGTATTTTATACACAGCTATCAGACAGCACCCTTCCACTTACTGGCCACTTTATTAGAAACACCTACCTTGTGCTTCCACTCAGTGGCCACTTTATTGGAAACACCCATCTTGTGCTTCCACTAACTGGCCACTTTATTGGAAACATCTACCTGATAATTTCACTAACTGGCCACTTTATTAGAAACATCTACTTGATAATTTCACTAACTGGCCACTTTATTAGAAACATCTACCTGATAATTTCACTAACTGGCCACTTTATTAGAAACATCTACTTGATAATTTCACTAACTGGCCACTTTATTAGAAACATCTACCTGATAATTTCACTAACTGGCCACTTTATTAGAAACATCTACTTGATAATTTCACTAACTGGCCACTTTATTAGAAACATCTACTGATAATTTCACTAACTGGCCACTTTATTAGAAACATCTACCTGATAATTTCACTAGCTGGCCACTTTATTTAGTTGTTGTTATTTTCTTTTAAATAAATGTTTTCTTTTTTTCTCCTGATGCTGAAAAATGAATAACTTGCACTTAATGGCTGCTTTAGTGGAAATTAAATACACAGAGGGTGTTTTCTGACTTATTTGATCATCAGACAGTGTTTTCCTTTTCTTCTAAGGAAACCTCTGCCGCTGCACTGGATACAGACCCATCGTTGATGGATTTAAAAGCTTCTGTGATGTGAGTTATGCTTGTGGCTTTTATTACAGTATAGCTGAACAGAACTCATTGCTAACGTTGCACAGCTGCAGTGTATAAGCTTTTCTCACCCATTCGTGTGATTGATGGTTCACAGAAACAGCAGTGCTGCCAGAACAAAGAGGAAGGTGGAAAATGCTGCATGGAAAACGGATACTTTCACGACCAGGAGGAGGATGTGAGTCAAATATTAGGGAATTTAAAGTGAATTTACCTCTGCTTCCATTCACTGGCCACTTTATTAGAAACACTCACTTTATGCTTCCACTAACTGGTCACTTTATTGGAAACACCCACCTTGTGCTTCCACTTACTGGCCACTTTATTGGAAACACCCATCTTGTGCTTCCACTGACTGGCCACTTTATTAGAAACACCTACCTTGTGTTTCCACAAACTGGCCACTTTATTAGAAACACCCACCTAGTGTTTCCACAAACTGGCCACTTTATTAGAAACACTCACCTTGTGCTTCCACTAAGTGGCCACTTTATTGGAAACACCTACCTTGTACTTCCACTAACTGGCCACTTTATTAGAAACATCCAACTTGTACTTCTCCTTACTGGCCACTTTATTAGAAACACCTACCTGATAATTTCACTAGCTGGCCACTTTATTAGAAATACCCACCTTGTACTTCCACTAACTGGCCACTTTATTAGAAACACTCACCTTGTACTTTGACTAACTGGCCACTTTATTAGAAACACCCACCTTGTACTTCCACTAACTGGCCACTTTATGAAACACCCCCTGATACAACTGGCCACTTTATTAGAAACACTCACCTTGTACTTCGACTAACTGGCCACTTTATTAGAAACACTCGCCTTGTGCTTCCACTAACTGGCCACTTTATCAGAAACATCCAACTTGTACTTCTACTTACTGGCCACTTTATTAGAAACACCCACCTTGTGCTTCCACTATCCGTCTGTTTCGATGTTGTTATTTTGAGCAGGTATCTGAAGAGCTGTTTGGTACAGAGGATTTCTTACCTCATGATCCGACCCAAGACATCATCTTTCCACCTGAGCTGCTTGTGAGTTCACAGTGGTGTTAATAAACCAGAATAAAACATTAATAAAGAAGAAGGATATAACATTGATTTTTATCACTGCTGTTTTCTCTTGTTCTGTCGTCCAGCTTATGGGAAAGAAACAGGATGGCGGTCAGTTGTGTTTCCAGGGCGATAGGGTGAAGTGGATTTCTCCGGCTCTTCTGAAGGATCTGGCTCATTTAAAAGCTCAGTACCCCGACGCCCCGCTGCTGGTCGGAAACACAACACTAGGTGGGTTTAAGTCTCCCTTTTACTTTCAGAAGCGTTTTCAACCTGATCTACGAAGGACTGACCGACTGATCTGCGTCACAGGGCCGAAGATGAATCTGAATAGAGCCGTGTATCCTGTGCTCCTCCACACTGGGAGGATTCCAGAACTGAGAGCCATCTCACGGAGCAGCAACGGTGAGTCGGGAGATGATACAGATACCCACGATAAAGAAACACAATGCAACGACTAAGGCCTTGATCTAATCAGGGCTGGACTGGGAACTAAATTCAGCCCAGGACTTTTATCTAGACCAGCTCAGTGACCTCCCTTCATCACGACCCCCAAAACTGTGACCCGCAAACCCAGCCAAGCCTAAGTCTGCTGACAAAATGCATAAACACAGTAAACACTGTCGATTTCTTTAAAATACGTGAACGTGAACATGTCAATGACACCTTAACTTGGCTGAGAACTGAATTATTGTGATAGTACATTATTATTAAGCCATTAAGCCGTATCCGTATTTATGTTAAATACAGATACAGATACGGATGGGGTCTTCTGTCTGTACTCTGCATTCATTTCATCCATATTTGTGCACGTTCTCTGAAAGCTTACAGATTTAAACGAAATTTTACATTTTTACATTTACAGCATTTAGCAGACGTTCTTATCCAGAGCGACTTACAAAAAGTGCTTTGTCAGAGAAAGTATCTTCGCTAGTTCCCAATAGGTTAGAGAGAAAGACAGTCCTGAGCTCAGATACTGCTAGAATCAGAAGGTCATTGACACCTAGAGAAAAAGGAACCGAGTTAAACACAGAGCAGTGCAATACAATACAATACAATACAATACATAAGTACAATACATTACAGTCAATACTTAACTCAGTGCTCATTTAAGTGCTGTATAAAGAGATGATCTTCAGTCTGCGTTTGAAGACAGTGGGAGTTCGTTCCACCACCTGGACTCCAGCACAGAGAACAGTCTTGATGCTTGCCTTGAAGGATGGCGGGTCAAGCCGAGCTGTACTCGAAGCTCGAAGGGCTCGTGGTACAGTTCGAGTTTTGACCATTGCCATCAAGTAGGGAGGGGCTGGTCCATTTCTGGCTTTGTAAGCAAGCATAAGGGTTTTAAATCTGATGCGTGCAGCTACAGGAAGCCAGTGAAGGGAGCGCAGCAGTGGGGTGACGTGGCTGAACTTTGGGAGATTGAAGACGAGTCGTGCTGCTGCATTCTGGATGAGTTGCAGAAATAGAGCAGTACCACCGGAAACCGTGGGGGGGCAGTGTAGTCAATAGTTCATGCGAGACACGATGCCAGTTTCTCTCTTTGGTAATACAATTGAAAAGAATTCTCTGTCCACACATCACAAAACATTTAATGGCCCCACAGTTGCACTGTTCTGCTAGGCTAAGCTAACGCACTCCAGCTAACAGGTTTGCAGTGAACCGATGATTAAAAACTCCGGTTTAGAGGACAGAAACTCATGTCTGGTGTTGACGTGACAGAAATATAAAAATAGACTTGTTCTGTGGTGCTTTGAGCTGAACCCTGCTGGGTGATGCTAATGCTAATGTAGTTAGCTGGCTACACGTGCAACCCACTGCAGTACAGGCTCAGTTTCAGTAACTGATGCGCAAATAATACCTGTTTAGTGGAAAAAGAATCTGAGAGCACACAGAGAGACCAGTGGAGTGATAGACGGAGTCAGGTGTGTGTTGAGGTGGGTGGTGTTTGTGTAGCTGTTAGCCTGTTAGCGGTTAGCCACTCTCTTGCATAGTTTTCTTCAGTATTTCCTGGTCCAAGGATGGGAAAAGAAACCATACCTGGTCTCTCTTGTTCGCACTAGATTGTGTACCCCTAGTGGTCAGTTTGGGGTCTAACAATGGTGCTGTTGCCTTGATAAAGTTTCTCAGTCTGGTTCCTGGGAGCTACTTAATCGTCCACAGTAAAAATAAGTACTGTTGCTCCAGTAATCGTGAGTTTTACAGTCTGTCTGGACTTGCTGGGCATCTCCACGGAACAGGTTGAGAACTACTTCTATAAATGTTGACCTGCTAGCTCATCTACAATATCCAGTTCACTTCCAGTTTCATAAATCTCTATTGGAATATATTCCATCTACATTAGTGAAGGAAAAACAAATTTGAAGGAGCTCCAAAACAGATGGAAATTGCTTTTTATGGCTACTGTGAGCAAAGCTGACCAAAAAGCTGATTTATCTAAAAAGCATGAGTTTATTTTACATTGAGGATTGAATGTTTCTCTTGAACTGGCCTGGATTGACCTGAAACCGGACCCTTCCTGATGTTTAGGGTTGAGGGTGGGCGCAGGGTGCAGCCTTTCGGCCCTGAAGGACGCTCTACAGAGAGGAATGGAGCAGCTGAACCCGGAGAAGAGCCGCGTCTACCAGGCCCTCGTACAAACCCTGCAGTGTCTCGCCGCCAAGCAGATCCGCAACGTGGCCGTGAGTTCCAAACACACCACAGAAAACAGATCTGACTCATAAGCCAATTACATGTATCCCAATTAAAGCAATTAAAAATAAACCTCACTTACACCAGAAAACGCTGTGTCGTCCTGAAATAGCCGTGCTGTGAAAAACAGTCAGGTCAGTGACGTTTAAACCCAAGCATGCTCCTGTTTGATGAAAGTATGTGTGAGTGTTTGTGTGTGGTTAAATCTCCAGACCATCGGAGGCAACATCATGAGCGCGGACCCTAAGTACGATCTGAGCAGCGTTCTCGCTGCTGCGGAGAGCACGCTTCACATCGTCTCCACCGGTACGGGCCACTCAGAGTTCAGTCAACGTTATTATCCGCATGGTACACTTTCTACCGGAGGTGTGGACTCGAGTCATATGACTTGGGCTCAAGCCCAACTCGAGTCACAAATCTGGTGATTTGAGACTCGACTCAAGAAAATTGAGAAAGACTTGTGACTCCACTTTGACTTCAACACCAATGACTCAGACTCTGACTCGGACTCGAGTCGTGAAGAGTCTGACTGCAGACGGCTACACAGTCAGTTACTTTCAACGTGAATGGAATAGTTGACGTTTTATTCGCCAGCTTCGTATTGCAATTTCTCATTCCACCTTAAATGGTGCAGCAGTGAGGCGCCAGAACATAACTGCTGCACCATTTAAGGTGGAACGGAAAATTCAAACGAAAAGCTGCTGGTAAAAAAAAGGTCAACTATTTGTGTATCATGGATTTTGTGTTTCAGTTGGAAGGGTAAATAAATAAATAAATAAATAAATAAATAAATAAATAAATAAAATACAGCCATACACTGCTGTTATTAAAAGTCTGTACTACTGTTGCCTTTATTCAGTGTTATGACCTTAAAAATTAGCTGAAGAATGCAGACTGACTCGAGGATTAGGACTACTGACTTGGGACTCAACTTAGACTCGCATGTACTGACTTGGGACTTGAATCGAGACCCCACCATCTTGATTTGGGACCTGAGACTTGGGATTTGGGACAAGACATGAGACTTACTTTGTTACTTGCAAGTTAGTGGCTTGTTCCCACCTCTGCTTTCTACATTCCTCTAAATTATCCTTAAAAAGCTACTTCAGTTCATATTTAATCCTACTAATGTATTAGTGGTTCATTTAAAGATGTCCACTCATTAAATGTTTGCAATGGTTAATTGAATGTTTATATATGATGGCACTGTGCCCACTGTGTAAGGCCTCTTAAGTTCAGCAATAGGGAAACACTATTTCTCAGTAAATTTGTCACTGACAAAACATAACTGTTTCTTAAAGGTGAATTCCACAATGTAAACAGAGTCATTCAGAGTGGTTTGGTGTGAAATTCTCTGTTCTAGAGTCAGAATCACTCACAGTGGTGGTGATAGGAACCAGACGTCCACCTCTAAAAGCTCCCTCACAGAAAGTTCCTACATGAAATGGTTATGAATTCACTGCCTGATAACTGAGACACTGTTTTATGATAGTTTAGAGAAGATTTTGGCCTTAAACTCCATTCATGGTGGAGGGATACATAATATGCAGGGTGCTGTGAGGCAAAAAAGTCCCCAAAGAAAACCATGTCCATTTGTATGCAGATATTTTTGAAAAATTCAGGGGTGATTTTGACAGCTGTGAGTTCATAACACGCTTATAATTGAATTTGGCTTCATTTTTTACATTAAATTGCAGTGGAGACACCACTTACTTGTACTGCGCTCAGTTCTCGTACACGACTGCAAACGCTAAAAATACCTCAGTGATTCTAAACATATATAACTTGATGATCATTAACTCTTAAATGTCCAGAGCCCCCCAGCAGGCCCAAAGCTTTATTACATACTTCTATAATCTAAGAAGAGCTCAACCAGCTTGCATCGAAGTCCCTGTAGTTACTGAATAATAAGCCTTAGTATGTAATAAGCCTGAGATTTTAAAGGGTTAACCGGGGTTAAGTCAGATTTGAAACAAATCCAAACTGTCAGTTCAAATGGGCTGAACAGCTTGAAAAACTTGGTGGTATAGACAATGTAAACAACCCCACGGCAAGTGGTAGGTTTTCTTTCGGTTCTGATACTTTTATTTTCTGGCAGGAATCAGACTTTGAATCTGTGTGAAATGTCAAATTATGGAGGTCTGACGGTCTGACGGCCTGCTGGCATGGTCATGCAAGCTTTTTTAAGTCATTTTTGGGTTTTTGTGTGGACGTAGAGATGTTTGAAAGCACTGAAGGTGCGGACGAAGATTTTATTTTTTTAAATGTAGAAAAAAACTACATTTTTAAAAATATCTGGATTAACATCATGTGTCTGAGGCCTTACATTTTGAGATTCACTGGTCATTTGTGGTTCACTTCAACCCATTAACCCCTTAAAGAGTCAAAACCTTTAATAAACACATATATAACCTTAGAATAGCTCAGCCAGTTTGCAATGACGTCCCTACAATTACTGAATAATAAGCCTTAGTATGTAAGAAGCCTGAGATTTTAAGTGTTTAATCCACTCGGAATGACTTTGTTTACATCTCAGTGGTTGAATTATGAAAGGATTTGAAAAATCAGTGGCCTTCCCCTTCAGTGCGCTGGTTCTGACAGATTAGGCCTGCAGCCTGTAGGCTGCCCACTGATGGTGGAGGTCACAGTTCAGTCTGTTCTCTCCTCGTAGCTGGTGTTCGGGAGGTCTGTCTGAATGAGGAGTTCTTCACAGGCTTTGGTAAAACAGCACTGCGACCGGATGAGATTCTGCTGGCTATAGACATTCCACACTCCAAACCTGTGAGTCAGCCGAAAACGCAGACGTAGCCGCCTGGGGCTAATCCTAATCATGCTCAGGGGCTTCGTCCATTGAGTGCTTTAACTTAAAATTAGAAATGATGCCGGTAATGTTCCACTTTGGAGAAAGTTTAAGAAATAGGCCTAGTTTTTCTCTGTCGAGAAGAGCTAAACGACCCAGGACACCTTGAACATCATACGCAATTAACTTTAATGTGCCGAGTTTAGCACATTGGGAAATAATAAAACATACAATAGAAAATGTGCCAGAACTTCTGCACAGCCCACATTTTATGTTTTATTTTTTCCCGATTTGTTAAACCCAGCAAATAAACATTAACTGTGCATTAAAGTGTGCCGAAGTAAAATAATTGTGCAAAATAATAGAACAATATACACCAATCAGGCATAATTATGACCACCTCCTTGTTTCTACGCTCATTGTCCATTTTATCAGCTCCACTTACTATATAGGTGCACTTTGTAGTTCTACAGTTACAGACTGTAGTCCATCTGTTTCTCTGATACTTTGTTAGCCCCCTTTTACCCTGTTCTTCAGTGGTCAGGACCCCCATGGACCCTCACAGAGCAGGTACTATTTGGGTGGTGTTTTTAAACACTGTGTCCACTCACTGTCCACTCTATTAGACACTCCTACCTTGTCAGTCCACCTTGAAGATGTAAAGTCAGAGACGATAGCTCATCTGCTGCTGCACAGTTTGTGTTGGTCATCCTCTAGTCCTTCATCAGTGGTCACAGGACGCTGCCCACAGGACGCTGTTGGCTGGATATTTTTGGTTGGTGGACTATTCTCAGTCCAGCAGTGACACTGAGGTGTTTAAAAACTCCAGCAGCACTGCTGTGTCTGATCCACTCAGACCAGCACAACACACACTAACACACCACCACCACGTCAGTGTTACTGCAGTGCTGAGAATGATCCACCACCCAAATAGTACCTGCTCTGTGAGGGTCCATGGGGGTCCTGACCACTGAAGAACAGGGTAAAAGGGGGCTAACAAAGTATCAGAGAAACAGATGGACTACAGTCTGTAACTGTAGAACTACAAAGTGCACCTATATAGTAAGTGGAGCTGATAAAATGGACAATGAGCGTAGAAACAAGGAGGTGGTCATAATGTTATGCCTGACCGGTGTATATCCATCCCACTCACACCAACGTTATAAGACGTGTTTCAGTCTGTACTGATTTTTGAATGTCAGAACAGAGCTCATTTACATATCGGTCCAAAAAAAATAAGCATCTTCATTTTTGTCGATTTTCAGTTTTGTGCATAATTTGAGCTGAGCAGCCGTTCCTCACTTTGTGTGGACATTTTATGATGAATGAACTAATCGAAATGACCCAAAAGTGCTTCAAATAAAACCTCTTTGCATTAACTTGCTTTAAAAGTAAACAGTGTTTTTGTCCTCTCCTGTAAAGTTACCGTTTTGGAGGTACTTGTTTTTCCTTGGACAGCAACGATATACAGTCTAAGGCTCAAAGGCTCAATATTAAAACTTTACATTTTAATTATACGGGATAAAGAGAGGATGGAAAATAGTCAAACAGAAATCAACTCTGCTTGTTTTTGGTACTTAAAAGCACACAATGAATGGTAAAATACTAAAAAATGTAATGTATGGGCTGTTAAACATATCGTTGGGTGTATCATGATTGTATTATGCAGTATTTTAATCACTGCATGTAATTTTGTTCATCCACTCTCAGAAATAAAGGTTCTAAGCTGTGCTGACTCCACACACCCCGTCTCGTCTCCAGGCTTTTATTTTACTGTTCTGTTTTAAAACATTCGCTTATGAAAAGGTACAAATACGAACTTTTCACCTGGAAAAACTTATTTAAGGTTCACAATCAGACCTTAAAACCACTGTTGGAGCTTTGAGGGAACATTTACACTGTTTGTACCTTGATGAACGAGAAATGTACCTGAACAGAACCTTTATTTCAGTGTATCATGCAGCTGTAGCTCTGGGTTGAGTGCATATTGCTGTATACAGTTTGATGAAACTACCTGAGTGGACTGTTAGTCACAGAGGCTAATGTGTTCTGTCCATCCGGCTGCAGTGGGAGTTTGTTTCGGCGTTCCGTCAGGCCCAGCGGAGGGAATTCGCCTTCTCCATACTGAACGCAGGCATGAGGGTGGTGTTCAGAGACGAGTCTCCGGTGGTCGAATCTCTGGATTTGTTTTATGGAGGAGTCGGACCCACCCTGGTCAAAGCCAGGACCACCTGCAAGGAGCTGACAGGAAGGTCAGTATTACGTATAATTTCCTGGATTATTGTGATTTATTTAAACCCAAGGCATTGATGTCATCATTTATAGGGCACTTCCTGCTGGAGGGCGTCTGTCAGGAATAGTCAAATTTGCACTTATATTTCTATAAATATTTGTATGTTTTCCATTTTGAAAGATTTTTTGTTTTCTTTTAAAATGATTTTAAAGTTTTCATCTTTAAGTTTAAACTAAAAAAAAACTTAAAAAAAAAAAAATACTGTCCCACATTTTCATGTCACTATCGAAACACAGCGTTTTAGTCTGTGGGCGGAGCCTTATTTTAGCCACACCCATGCATCCCTGTCCCTCATGGCCACATGGTGAGCAGTTAGATCCCATTGTTTTGAAGTAAATGTGTCCCAAAGTCTGAAAATCAGTGTGGAACATTAAGAAACGTCACTACCGAAACACAGATTTCCAAATTTTTTTGTGTTTTAATGAAAAATATGATGATTTTCTGTGTGAACAGCTGTTCAAAGCTGTGTTTGCTGGTCATGTAGTGGCTAACATTCTTGGGTTCTGCTCAAAATTAGCTAAAATTGTAACAACTGTAGTCCATCTGTTTCTCTGCACCCTGTTCTTCAATGGTCAGGACCCCCACAGGATGCCCACAGAGCAGGGGGGGGTCATTCTCAGCACTGCAGTGACACTGACGTGGTGGTGGTGTGTTAGTGTGTGTTGCGCTGGTGCAAGTGGATCCGACACAGCAGTGCTGCTGGAGTTTTTAAACACCTCAGTGTCACTGCTGGACTGAGAATAGTCCACCAACCAAAAATATCCAGCCAACAGCGTCCTGTGGGCAGCGTCCTGTGACCACTGATGAAGGACTAGAGGATGACCAACACAAACTGTGCAGCAGCAGATGAGCTATCGTCTCTGACTTTACATCTACAAGGTGGACCGACAAGGTAGGAGTGTCTAATAGAGTGGACAGTGAGTGGACACAGTGTTTAAAAACTCCAGCAGCACTGCTGTGTCTGATCCACTCGCACCAGCACAACACACACTAACACACCACCACCCAAATAGTACCTGCTCTGTGGGGGTCCTGACCACTGAAGAACAGGGTGCAGAGAAACAGATGGACTACAGTCTGTAGATGAACTACACAGTGAAACTACAGAGTCAGGGAGTGTCTGGTTGGTGTAGTCTAAGTCTAAACTCGTCTAAAAATCTACAGCACAGTTTGGTCTTGTTTATGTTCAATCTTTGAAATATGTGCTTCTGACCGGTGCTCTGTGTCTTTATCAGAGTCTGGGATGAGAAGCTCCTGGCTGAGGGAACTCAGCTCCTGAGAGAGGAGATCTCTCTGTCCCCCACTGCCCCCGGTGGCAGGGTGGAGTATCGCAGGACGCTGGTCCTCAGCTTTTTCTTCAAGTTCTACGTGCAGGTGCTGCTGGAGCTTAAACAGAAGGTGCGTTTATTTATGAAAATGCTCCATCACCGTTCACCATCGTCCACCAGTATCTTGAGATAACAGTATTATGAACATGCTTATTATTTAAGCCATGCTGGCATTGTAGTATTAATTTTCAGTATATAGTGTATCTTTATTGCAGCTTTTCACTCACTTTCAGTTCCTCAAAGAATCTGCAGACACACCTCCAAAGTTCAGTCTTAGAAGCTGGTTGATCATTTTCTGAAGTAATCAAACACATTCAGTGGTGTTGAGGTCTGGACTCTGGGGTGGTCAGTCCATTGTTCTGAGAGCACCAGTTATGCATTTGCAAATGTTCCTCAGAAATTTCTCCTGTAAAGTGAATAACGTACTTAGTGGCCATTTGCACTTTTTGTTGTTTTTATAAGGGTCAATGTTAGTTTGGTCATTGGTCATTTTCCTCACCAAAGTGTTTGTATTTGTGCAGGGAATAGCGGTCAGTGATCCACCTCCGGAGTACCTGAGTGCACTGGAGCAGTATAGGAACGAGCTGCCGCATGGACACCACACCTTCCAGGCGAGCGCACCATACGTCCATGATCGAGAGATCCTACAGATTTTCTTCTAGAACCTTTTCCAAGCTGATTAAACACTAAAATTATAATTTCAAACAGAAAAAAATCCACATTTGATCTTAGTCGTACATCAGACACTGTACATGTAAAACCAAATGCACTGTCAGCTTTAAGTCAGGGTTTATCAACCTTTGGGCCGCGGGCCACCAGTGGGCCATGAAGCACCCTCTAGTGGTCCGTGGGCCTGAACTCAGGGGGAGGCAGTAGTTCGCAGTAGGCCAATACAAGCATATAAATAAAAGCACTGCACTAACAGGCTAATTAAGCGTCATCAGTTTGAGACGGCACAGCCGCTGGGACGCAGCGCAGACAGTTAGCCAGAGATGGAGAGGTTTCTCAGGGTGTTTCTCCTACCTTGTTCAGTGCGGACCTGTAGTTCACTACATTTTGACATGAGTAAACACTCACAAACAGCCGAACCGGTCCGGCGAAACCCGCGGGTCTCGGTCTGCTTCCAACTGAGCCCTGCTCAGGTCACTGCTGGTGTGAACACATCTTATGATGAAACGAGGGAAATTCATCAATATAGCCAGCTTTCCTCTTCTTCCAGCAGCAGGTCAGCACTGCACTCAGTATAACCTGCCTGTTTGAACCATTGACTCTTTACAGATTCTCACTGCTCTCATATCGTTCCTGCAGTTCGAGCTGCAGCTGATAAAAATGAGAGACGAGCCTTAAAATAATAGCTGTGATCTGTGTTTGATTTCTGGCCCAACATCAGTGACCTGAGTAGGTAGCCTCTATGCTCCTTGGAAACACTGGTGGTTCCAAAACGCACTTCGTCATATTCTTCATAACTTTTATACTTCATAAGCTACATTCTAAAGGTGGGGGTCGTATGAGGCTGTAACTGTCTTCTTTCCAGTCAAATAGATGGGTGATGTCATTTTAAACCCTTGTAATAAAAGAAGCTGAACTCACAATCTTTTTTTTTCTAATGAAAGTCGACCCATTTTTCCACAAATCTGGGCTATAAACTATAAACAGATGGCGTCTCTTCAGTGATCTGCACTGTATAAATGATTTTTTATAAAATAATACAAAGAGCGTCTAAGAGTTTTGGCTTTCAGCAGTAAATTGTAAGCATACAGCAATATGTGTGATCATAAAACACGTGTTTTGTTAATTTAAGGGGAGCTTTTACAAAAAAATAAATAAAACAAAATAAAAATTTACATTTATTTCATGCAGTTACTGAATAGTTTGCCTTAAGATTTGGTCATGACAATTCAGATGGACAAACCAAAATATACCCTGAAGCATAAGAGGTTCAACTCAACTTGATAAGCTAATGTCATAGAAGCAGAGATCAAGTAAGGTTTATTATTATTGTTGACTGTGGCAACACTAATCCAGAAGCCCCCTGAGTTTAGTGAGGTTTACTTCAAATGAGGCACTAAACCCCTCAAAACTAAAGAGACTCCAGACCAAACAGTGACTCCTGTGGGAGCCATGAGTGTTTTCAGTGAAAACGCGAGGAACTGCAGCTCCAAATCACAGCCCACATCTACGTCTGCCTTTACTTCTTTTTCCCCGTTTTTGAGTTCTCTGCAAACATATGGTTTTTAAATGTTATATTTTCTAACATAAGAGGGCTGCTATGCTTTGAAGTTATAAACAGGTGGGCCTTGGGGTGGAAAAGGTTGAGAACCCCTGCTTTAACTGGTTGCAAGGGCCTGTAGTCAATCATGTACATTCAACAACAGTCCCAATCAAACGTCTCCTTTTATGCATGCAAAGGATGCATAATAGCATAAAGGTGGGGGTCGTATGAGGCTGTAACTGTCTTCTTTCCAGTCAAATTGATGGGTGATGTAATTTTAAACCCTTGTAATAAAAGAAGCTGAACTCACAATCTTTTTTTTTCTACTGCAAGTCGACCCATTTTTCCACAAATCTGGGCTATAAACTATAAACAGATGGCGTCTCTTCAGTGATCTGCACTGTATAAATGATTTTTTATAAAATAAGACAAAGAGCGTCAAGATTTTTGGCTTTCAGCAGGAAATTGTAAGCATATAGCAATATGTGTGATCATAGTTATCGTTGTAGTTATCGTCGTCATAGTTATCGTCTTGCTTGGGAAAATAATGTGAACCTTGTTCTGATTTGGTTGAATGAAGATGGTTCCAGAGGTCCAACCTTTCACCGACCCGGTGGGACGTCCCAGAATGCATCAGGCAGCGTTCCAGCAGGCCACAGGAGAAGCGCAGTACTACGACGACATCCCGGCAGTGCAGGGGGAGCTTTTTGTGTCCATGGTGACGAGCACCAGAGCCCATGCCAAAATCATGTAAGCTTTATGGTTATACTACGATAAATCATTTAAAAATATAACAGCAGTGTTAAAATGTCTTATGCTGTTCTGTGTTCAGGAAATTAATTTATTCTTTAATTTAAAAAATGTTTAATCATTTACAAACTATGATTTTGCTCAAATGCTCCATCTTAACCCATTTATTTTGGACTCACTCGGGAGCGCCCTCTAGTGTTTGAGAAACCCGGAAGAGATTACAGAGTAGAAATGCTCCTCTCTACAAGTTCTCTGGTAGTACATGCTTTATCTTGGCCACTATGAAATGGTACGGTCCTTTTTGGTTCCTAGATAATTGTTCCTACTAGAGATGGAATAATGGCGCTGGTGAACAGGAGTCCATAGTGTGAGTGTCCAGAGAATCATTGGAAATGTAATGTGTGGAGTCGACAGAGGTTCTCACCCCTGTCCTTTCACCCCTTATTGCTCACTAGCAGCCCAACACAGAGCCAACAGTGTTCTAGTTAATCTGATAACAGATTTTAAAAAGATATTATATTTAGTTATATTGATCCCTTTTTGCAGTAGCCATAAAAATTTATTCTATTTTGAATTAAACTGTTTTATTTCATTGCATTAATAGTATTGGCCACTAGGAGGCCTGAAGAAAGGGGTTTATTAAAAATATCCATTATACATTCCCTTTCACCACCAGCAGGACCTGCAGAAAGAGGCCACAGGTATTGTTCTTGGGGTGATACTGTACAGTGGTCACCAATCCTCCTCCTGGAGATCTGCTTTCCTGAAGAGATTAGAGCCAACCTGCCTCTAACATACTGCCTCTCATACAGCCAATCAAGGACCTCTGAAGAAGTTAATTAGCTGGAAGAATGTGGTTCAGTCCACAGGAAGGTAGATCTACTGGACCAGGCTTGATGACCACTGCCGCAGAAGAACAATTTTTGGTTCTGTAACCAACCTAGTCCTTTAAAAATAACTCAATTGAAAGGTTCTTTATCCATTCTTTATCCCCTTTTTGGCGCCTTTATAATTTCAGAGTGTGAAGTTCTACAGTTTTAGACAGAGTTGTAAAAGAAATGGTCTTTGCAATGGAAGGAACCAAGCTTGATGGCCCAGGTTTTCCCATAGTGCATCACGGAGGAGTAGTCGTATGGGGTGTTGAGGTTGTTGGTGTTCTCCTTGTTGAAATTGTACTGCATTGCTGGTGAGATGTTTGCCCAGTTGATCCTCACATAGCTGTCATGGTCACTCCTGGTCTGCTCGTGGTAGAAACCCAGCACGTGGTTCAGCTTGTGCTGGGCGATGCCATGGTACACATGGCCATTCCTGCTGATGGAGACCACCTGCAGACCACCTGATCTGCCCACTGGAGAGTACCACCTGAGAGGAAATGGAGAAGATTGTCCACATCACTGAAGTAAAGCTGTGGACAGTGAGCGTAAAACAGGAGTAAAGCTGATCTAAGAGATCTTTAGAGGGTTCAGCTGGTCTCACCCATCTCTGTTCTCAATGCTGAGGTAGTCAGTTTCAGTGCTTCTGGGAACAAAGCGAATGCAGGTTTTGCTGTGGAAAGTCGCCATGGCACCGGCAATTACAGACCTGTCAGAGGATGCTGAAAAGTAAATGATCAATAAACAATCAGATAATAGCATTAATTAGATAACGGGAAATGTAGAATGTGAAGAACAAACTTTTACTCACAGAAATCACTGCTCAGTGTGAAAGGAACCTGCACTAAACCAGTTGAGGACTTCTTCCAGAAGCAGTTGTTGTCGGGGCAGAGCAGAGCGTTCCTGGTTCTTGGTAAGACTATGTCTCCCTCCACCAACAGTTCCCTGGATCCTTCACACACAGATGGAGATGGAAATTTGATTAGGAAAAGCAGAGTTTTGGAAAATGTAGGTCAAATTTAAACAATGCAGATTTAGAATCAGTAGAATCAGCAGGTTATCTGACCGTTGTTGGTTGTCAGAATGTTTGCTGTGATGTCCACAAGTTGAGGCTCCATGAGAGGGACGGCTTGCAAGAGGCCGAGCAGCAGCAGGGCTAGAATGGAGAGAGAGGCTGTGGGCTCCATGTTGCTTCAGTGAGTGGAGATGATCTGGATGCTTCTTCACCGTAGCTCAGTGTCTGAACCCTGTCGTACCTGCCTTTTATACATATGGACACTCATCGGTGTGGCTGTCTGGGGATTAAAGATAGGCTCTAGTGTCCACTGTATAATGTGTTTAAATAAAGGGAGGAGCCTCCGAAATAAAAACAAAAGCGTCTTTCTCCTTAGCACTTACATTGTCTTGAGTTCCTCAGGGTTCCATTTTAGGCCCTATTTTATTTGTTTCTACTTACTAAACGCATGGGCTTCACTGTTCATAAAAATCATTTTCTGTCTTTATGCTTTATTCAGTAGCATCTTTAATATCTTTTTCTGGGCAATAATCATCTTACTAAGTATCCCAAAATCAGTGTCTCTAATATGTGTAAATAAAGGAAGGAGCCCCTGAATTCAGTAGTTTTCTGTATTACCTTACTGTATCAGAGTGGCGGTCTGAGTTTTTTTTGGGTAACCTGTAGTTATGGATGAGCTGTTATCCTTGACTTCTCTCTTACTAGAAGAACATTTTGAACATTTCATATGTTTGTGTGAATGTATTTACCGCAAATGAGATACACAGCTTCTGTATTGTTATTACTTTAAGTTAATCTATTTTTACAGTGTCCTGCGAATGAGTGGAATTTTTGCTGTAATCTTTAAAATGTTCATTTAACAGATACACATACAGTACTGTGCAAAGTCAGAAACCATCCTTCATATAGCTCCTCTCCAGTCAAAACAGCCATTAAGTAAAAGTTATTAATTTGTCAGGAGTTATATTTGTGGAGATTATATGTAATACAATGCGCTTGTGTAACGAAAGAGAAAGTCAAAGGAAAATAAGTTTCTAAAACTAGAGTTCAAAAACTGATTAAAAACTACAGAGAAAATGTGTGTCCTAACAACCACCTGGAAGAGCTGGTCGACCCCAAAACTGCCCCATCAGATAAACAGCACTTAAAGCTCTCATCTCTGAGAGAGAGGAGAAAATCAAGCTGCTTCAGATCTGAAAACATCCACAGGTGTTTCTGTCCATCCTTCCACTGTGAGAAGACGACTCAGCGCTATGGGTCTGAAAGGATGTGTAGCTGTCAAGAAGAACCTCACTGAGAAAAGGAGACGGACACATCAAACAAAGAAGCTGAACAATGGACTGACCACCCCAGAGTCCAGACCTCAACACCACTGAATGTGTTTGGGATACTTGGATCATGAGAAACAATTTGTAGACTCAACTTTGAAGGTGTAGATAAATATCGCTGCAGATTTCTTTGAAAATCTGAATGTGAGTCTCCTGAAACGAATGTTGATTTTCTTCATATCTTTACCCCCTTAAAATGGTCTCTCCTTTCCTGTGCTTGGTCACTAGGTCGATAGATGCGTCAGCAGCACTTGCCATGCCTGGAGTGGTCACTTTCATTACCGCTGAACACGTTCCTGGGCAGAACCGAAGACTCTGGTTTGGTAACATAGAGGAACTGTTCGCTGAAGAGGAGGTGCCACTTTATAAAACATTTTATTGTATTACATTGTACTTATATGATAAGTTTATTAGAATTTACCATGTTGTAGATGGTGTTTTGATGGCAGAGCAACATCCTGCAGTCATAAAGCACAAAAACTTACAACATTGGATGTTTTTTCAAATATGTACACTCACAGTACTTCATTAGGAACACTACACTAATGCTGGGTAGGGCCTCCCTTTACTCTGAAAACAGCCTCAGTTTTTCATGGCATGAATTCCACAAAATGTTATAAACATTCCTCTGAAGTTCTGGTCCATGTTGATATTCTTCCTTCATGCAACTCCTGCAGATTTTTCAGGTTCACTTTCATGCTATGAATCTCCTGTTCTACCACATCCCAAAGGAGTTCCGTTGGATTCAAATCTGGTGACTGGGAAGGCCACTGTAACAGGTTTTGCAATTTTTAATGTTATTATTGCTAGAACCTTATGTGAGAGTGTGGGGTAACCCGGATTTATTTGAAGTCTACAGACCTTAGAGAGAAACACTCGCACCAAGGATGCTTTAGAAAAGGGAATTTATTGGCTAAATATCAAACTACTTTTGGACTACATTCAATGATAAACAATAGAAAATAAAACCAGAAAATAAAACAAAACAAAGTGACAGTAATGAAAGACAAAATAGCTCGAGTAAGTTGATGTAAATGATTCACGGCTAAATGGTATGAGGCAGTGTGGTTTTGGGTAGTTGCTTGGGAGAGCCCCTAGAGAATTAACCTAAGCATGGACGGGAATAGCTATATGGCTGGATGTACCTATAAAAGTTCTCTTATTAAATAAATTGGCGTCAGGGCCCTGACTGCAAATTGATGGAACAAGCTTATGTTGGAGTCGGGGGCTGACGTCAGGAGGGGTCGTCTCAGGACAGACTCGATCGAAGGCTGGAGCTCACGCGGTGGTTCCTCTCCTCGCTGGCCGTGGATGCTGCATCTCCATGCAGGCACGCGCCTTTCCGTCAGTGATTGGGCGGAGGCATCTCGTGGCCGTCTGACGGTGGAGCTTGGGCAGCTTTCCGATGGTCGATCCGTTCACAGATCAGTGCGTGGCTCTGGGTGCGATGCTGGGTCTCCATGGCGTCAGAACCGCTCCCACTCCGCTGACGAGGTTCAGGTTGCAATCAGGGTTCTGAGGCTGGTGATACTAATTTAACTAACTACCTCTCTTTAGCAGAATTGAAAGTTATGGATATATCCTCCCGGGCCAGACAAGAACTATCCACCTTCCTTCTCTGAGGGTGGTTTAAATTTAAGGTGTGTAGACAAACAGGCAAGTTACAAAACAAACAAAGGTTTCAGATCTGAAAATTTAGCGTTCTAATACTTCTGATCTGTCTTTCTGACCAAGGCCAGCACAAACTTAGAAATTTAGCTATCCTCTTGCTGAGAACGCAGGACACTGAACTGAACTCCAGAAATTTGTGGTGCACTCTGGTTTTGCTCGGCTGGAGGCCCTATGCTTTGGAGGTGGAGAGTGCTGATAGGTTCTCCTCACCTAAGGTTAACTAGCTACTAGCATTGTTTCCAACTCTGATTGGTTGTGCATAATTTTAGGAATGCCTCCCCCAGAATCACTGCCTCCTTTGTTTCATCTAGTTTAAACAAAGAAAAAGAAACATTCCTATATCATCAAATTGGTTTCTTTCAAAATCAAGGAATGAACAACTAGGATATTCAGGCATGTTTCTAAGAGAGAGTTTAACCCTTGTTACCTGATACACAACATGTCAAAGAACACAGGTACTATTTGCCTATCATATCTGAACATGACCCATTGCATGAAAAATAAAATCGACAATAAAAGGAAAGGAACAAAGGAAGAAAAGAAAAGAAAACCACATTCAGGATACATATTGGTCAATGGTCTAAACTCATAGCAATTAAATGGTTGGGTCTGTTTGTTATCAAAGTTATACACTACGTATTTCTAGCACTTAATACTAGAAAAAGATACAGGTAATATTTAGGTAATACACAACAACAAGAGGGCGGCACAGTGGGTAGCGCTGTTGCCTCACAGCAAGAAGGGCCTGGGTTCGATTCCCGGCCGGGTGACCAGAGTCCTTTCTGTGTGGAGTTTGCCTGTTCTCCCCGTGTCTGCGTGGGTTTCCTCCCACAGTCCAAAGACATGCTGTCAGGCCAATTGGACATGCTGAATTGCCCCTAGGTGTGAGTGTGATTGTGTATGTCTGTCTGTCTGCCCTGCGATGGACTGGCGACCTGTCCAGGGTGTATCCTGCCTTCCGCCCAATGACAGCTGGGATAGGCTCCAGCACCCCACCGTGACCCAGAAGGATAAGCGGTTTAGATGATGTATGTATGTATATGTACAACAACAAGATTAATAAATCAAGTAGTATTGATTATAGAAATGTTGATAATCAAGCAGACAAAGCAAGAAGTTTCTTGGGTTCCTTATAAGCACATGTCCTTACAGTGGCGATGTGGTAATTCTCATTTTCACCCCTTGGGGGTGCTGTGGGTCCATGCTTGAGATCCCTAGGGAATTTAGAAAGTTGAAATTTGCAGTCCAGATTGTCGTATCAGTTCCGTTCTTGGTATGTCTAGTTTAGTTAAAAAGAGTTCTAACGAATGGTTGCAGTTTGGAGTGGATATATACCTTAGAAATGTACTTTCTGTTACTTCAAGATAAAGCTGTCCACAGGACTTTGGAGGGCAATGTGGCCAATATTCCAGGGAGGTGTTCTGTTGCCCCCTGGGTCGAGGGAGAGGGGTGCTGGTTCTTGATTCAGTCGTAAATTTGACTGAGTTTGGGGTTGGGAGTGTTAAGTTGACAGATTTACACTTTCAGACTCACTGGAGCCAAAATGCCCTTAACTTTTGGGTTGTTGATACATTAGAAACACTCAGCTTGGGGGTAAAGTTTCAGCCAGTGTTCGCTACACAAGATCAATTAGCTCAGTCATGTTCATGAAACACGTTTGAGATGACTTTTGCTTTATGATGTGGTACATTATCATGCTGGAAGTAGCCATTCGAAGATGATAAATTGTTGCCATGAAGGGATGAACATGGTCAGCAACAATACACAAATAAGAAAGCTGTGATCAGTAATAACAGGCTGAGAAAACAGTTCCCATCCCAGTACACCACCTCCACCAGCCTGGACTGCTGACACAATCCATGCTGGTGCCAAATTGTGACCCTACTGTGTCACTATCTGTGAGCCTCAGCAGAAATCAAGATTCATCAGACCAGTCTACATTTTTCCAGTCTTCAGTTGTCCATTTTTGGTGAACCTGTGTCCACTGCAGCCTCAGCTTTCTGTTCTTGGCTGACAGAAGTGGAACCCGATGTGGTCTTCTGCTGTTGTAGCCCATCCACCTCAAGGTTCAATGTATTGTGCATTCTGAGATGCTTTTGTACGGAGTGGTTATCTGAGTTACTGTAGCCTTTCTGTCAGGTGGAATCAGTCTGGCCATTCTCCACTGACCTCTCTCATTAACAAGGCATTTCTGTCCGCAGAGCTGCCTCTCATTGAATGTTTTTTCTTTATTGGTACATTTTGAGTAACTCTAGAGATGCTGAGTGGGAAAATCCCAGGAGATCAGCAGTTACAGAAACACTCAAACCAGCTCGTCTGGCACCAACAATCATGCCAAGGCCACATTTTCCCCCATTCTGATGATTGATGTGGACGTTACCTGAAGCTGCTGCCCATATCTCCATGATTGTATGCACTTGCACTGCTGCCACATGATTGGCTGAGTAGATAATGGCATGAGCAAGTAGGTGTACAAGTGTTCCTAATAAAGTGTTTGGATGAGTGTAACTATCAGAGCTTTTTAACTACTCCAACAAAAAGTCAGGGATTTAACAAACACATGCCTTCATTTGCATCTACTACACAAATTTGGCAAAACAATCTGTAATTCTTAATGCTTTTTACCATGATTGGGATGGAGTGTGTTTTTAATCATGGCTATATAATGCATGTCACTTCATTTGAAATGAAATAAGTAGAAATAAATAAGAAAGACTGCAACAGTAATTATTTCTGATATGATCTAGGTGATCTGTGTGGGTCAGATTATTGGAGCCATCGTAGCTGAAAGCAGAGAACTAGCGAAGAGAGCATTGCGGCTGGTCATTGTAACGTATGAGGACGTCCTGCCTGTCTTCTTTACCATAGAGGTACACTGTACTGTCATTACATATTTCATAGAAACATTCAGGCATGTTATGAAATATGGGGCACATCCAGTACGTTACTGCACTGAGCAGATTTGTTGTTGTTTGATGCAGGAAGCCATAGAACACCAGTCGTTCTTTGAACCAAAGAGGAAGTTGGAGAGGGGAAACGTGGAGGAAGGCTTTGAGAGATCAGACCACATTCTGGAGGGTACTTTCAGACGGCACACTTGATTACCTGAATTTAATTCAGTTTGGTGTTATTTGTGTGGATCTTTCTAGAAGAGACATTGTCCCAAAGAAGTTTGTCCAGGTATGTGGGTGCAGTGGTTCCACTGAGACGAACCAAGACTCAAGACAGAACTCCCTGAAAGCATGAGGAAGAACCAATGAGAGGAACCAAGACTCATAAGGAGGAACTCCCTAAAAGCATGAAGAAGAACCACTGAGAGGAACCAAGACTCAAAAGGAGGAACTCCCTAAAAGCATGAAGAAGAACCACTGAGAGGAACCAAGACTCAAAAGGAGGAACTCCCTAAAAGCATGAAGAAGAACCACTGAGAGGAACCAAGACTCAAAAGGAGGAACTCCCTATAAGCATGAGGAAGAACCACTGAGAAGAACTACCTAATGAAAGGAAATGACAAACAGGTGTGACAACTTAGAATTCCGGTGAAGAGGAGCGCTGGAGTGAATGTTCATTGGTAGATGGCGATAGGTGGAGAGTCAGGTGATCTCCCACTGACTCATGGGAGTTGGAGTCCTCTAGACAGTCCATGGACTCAAGTGATTCTGCAGGGGAAAGGGAACAGACAGAGGAGGCGTCTTTGGCAGGAGGCATGACAGTGAGGAAGAACCACTGAGAGGAACCAGACCAAAGAAATATACAGTAGACTAGGTGACCTAGTCCTACCTGACTGATATATCAGTTACACGATAAAACTGGCTAATACTGTGGCTCCACAGACTTATCTATATTGGTGAAAATACTGCTTATATTGGTTTGAAGTTTCTTGTTTTATATTACTTAGAATTTTAATGATTTCACTGATGAAAACCAAGAAATAAGAAAAACAGAAAAATATATTTTATATATTATATATTTGAATTAAGATTGTATAAAAATAAGAAACTTAAGACAATTAGGATAAACAAAATAAGAAAAGTAGAAACCAACAAAGTGTGGGAAGCTTTGTCCTTTGTCTTGTCTTTACACTGCAAAAAAAAACAATATTTTGGACAATTTTAAATCTAGTCTAACATAATAACATCAATACAATTACTTAAACTATATCTAGATGTTTTTGTTCTTGTTTTACAGAATTTTATCTAGTGATTTTTTTTTCTCATTCCATTTGCTTCTTTCAAGAAGTAATGCTTAAAAGCGTTAGATTTTTTGCCAATAGAATGAGATCATATGTCTTGATAAAATAACTTTAAACAAGGAAAATTAATAGAATATAATTAGATCTAATAGTATTTAAGTATTTCTACATTTACGATGATTTTACTTGCCAGTATGTAATTTTTCACTGTGTACACAGTTGTATGCAAAAGTTTAAACATCTCGGGTCAAAATTACATCCTTTGTTGATTTTATACATGAAATAAAGTTGACACGTCCTCCACAGAGAACTCACTTAAAAATGACATTTTTCTGTAAACTCTAGTGCACAATTTCTATTTTTAAATTTAAAGTGCACTTTTGCACAGCGTGTTTTATTTTTTCCAATATGTTACATTCAGCAAATAAACAGTAATTAGGAATTAAAACGTGCTGATATGTGTTCTCTGTAGAGGGTGTGGAATTTGACCAGGGGACCCTGGTGTCCTAGTGTCAGCTGAAGACCCTGAAGATGAAGCTGTTTCTCTGACCGTGATACTGTCCACTGTTCCAGGCGAGCTGTATATGGGGGGTCAGGAGCATTTCTACATGGAGACGCAGGGGGTGATCGCCGTGCCGAGGGGGGAAGCAGGAGAGATGGAGCTATATGTAGCCACGCAGCATGCAGCCTACACTCAGGTCAGACACTGATAGCGTGGCCACTTCATCAGAAACACCTCCCTCGTAGCTCTACCTTGCTGGTGCACAGTTAGAGATTTACATTATTCATGGTTAACCATCCTCTAATCCTTCGGTCAGTTTCTGACCACTGAGTCGCTCTTGATGACATTTTTGGGTCTCAACCTGGCTAATGTGTGTGAAAACTCCTGTGTCTGATACACTTGTACCAGCACCACACACACTACCATGGGCTGAGAATGGACCACCACCCAAATAATGTCTGGGCAACAGCAGTCCTGTGGTCAGAAACTGGCAACGGATGAGCTACAGTCTGTAACTGCATAGTGTCCCTATAGTGGACTGTAGTGGACCTATAGTCAAATGCAAAAGTTTGAAATTTGTTGCTTTTTAAGTGAAAATAAGTTAATATTAGAAAAGAATATAAAATATAAAATGTCTTGTGCAAAAGTTAAGACATTTTATTTTTGATGTTTTTCTCAGCAAATATATAGAGATTTTGCAATAAATTTGCAGAAAAAATGGCATATTTAAAGCAGTACTGCTAAAATTTTTGGTTAAATGTTAAAAAAGGGTCATTACTGAGTGAAGAGAATAAAAACAGGCTAAAATATGGTGAGTGTGAAAGCCTGAAATAATCATTTAAAAGTCAGAGGCGTTGAGTTTTTCACACACACATCGTACGTCTTTACATATTTACGTCACACAGAGACTCTAAAAGAAGGTCCGGCTCGATGTTTAGACCTCAAATGATCTCAAAATCAACATCATACTGATGTTATTTGATCGGGGGGGTGTAAACTCTTGCATCTGACTGTATAAGGTAGGCGACCAGCAAGTGTTTATCATCTTATGGATTTTCATTAAAGTGAAAATAATCTGCTGTATGAAGTGCATTGAAAACAGAAGGAATGAACAGATATTTAAAGGCATCTACATTAACCTCAAATGTACTTAATTGTATCCATTATTGTGTCTTAGATTCAAATAACACTTCCGTCTTCCTCCACTAGGAGGTGGTGGGGTTGACTCTGGGGGTCGAGTCCAACAAGATCACCTGCCATGTGAAGAGGCTGGGTGGAGGATTTGGAGGGAAAGTGATGAAGATCGCCTCATTGTCCGCCATCACTGCCACTGCTGCTTACAGGCAGGACTGACCACTATAAGACACACGCCTTAGAACAGTGGTCTTTGTTTTGTTACATTAGCTAAGATTGGCGACCGTTGTGTGGAGGCGGGAGTGGATGCACATCCTAAGGCTGGGATACAGTTAATCTAGTCTAATACAGTTTTCTCCATTAACATCAATAACATTGATTCAGTGTATTGTAACAGCACTATAATGTACTGTAGAAATGTACTATAGAAATGTAGTATAATGTTTTAAAGAAAAATACTAAAGAAATGTGCTATAATGTATTATATAATGGTATAATGCACTGTAATATACTGTAAAAACATATAATAATGTACTATAGAAATGTACTTTAATATAATACAATATACATATTGTAAATGTACTACAGAAATTAACAATAATAACTGTTAGCTATAATTAACACTATAGAACTCTAATATAATGTACTATAAAAATGTACTGTAATGTAGTATAATGTACTATAGAAATGTACTGCAGTGTAGTGTAGCAATGTACTACAGGAATGTAGTATAATGTACTATAGAAATGTACTGTAATGTGTTGGAATTTACTATAGAAATGTAGTATAATATACTGTAGAAAAGTACTATAATGTAGTATAGAAAAGTACTATAATGTAGTATAGACATGTAGTAAGGTACCATAGAGATGTTACTATAGACATTTACTATAATGTACAATAAAAATATTGTAAATGTGTTACAGGAATTAACTATAATAACTATAATTTAAACTAATGAACTCTAATATAATGTATTATAGAAATGGACTATAATGTAGCATAGAAATGCAGTATAATATACAATAGAAATGCAGTATAATATACTATAGAAAAGTACTATGACCCACTATAGAAATGTACCACAGAACTGTACTGTAATGTCCTCTATAAATGTACTATAATATACTATAAAACTGTACTTTAAGGGTGTCTCCGATTTGTATAGTTTGGAGTCTGTGAACATAAGGCTTACTGTCCTGCTGTGTGTATGTAAACACTGGCTGACCGTATCCGTCCACCCTGCAGGACGGGCCGTGCGGTGCGCTGTGTTTTAGAGCGCGGGGACGATATGCTGATCACCAGCGGGAGACACCCCTTCCTGGGGAAGTATAAGGTACTGAGGACCTGTCGTACAGTTAGGTTCAGAACTTTGCCTCCTGAGTGGTTTTATAACACTGAAGCGTGTTTTCCTGTTTTCTCAGGTTGGTTATATGAATGATGGCACTATTCTGGCTGCTGATATAACCTACTACAGCAACGGGGGCTGCACACTGGACGAGTCCTCATTCGTGAGTCTGCAAATTTTTTTTACAACATTGAGAGTCTCATTTGCAATCGAATACCAAAAATTCAACTCTAAAAATAATGTCTAAACCTCTAGTTGCGTACAGTTATCTTGTTTTTTATTTATTGTACCATTCCATAATCACAAATAATGAAATAATTCAGTAAATATATGTTCTGTTTCGACAGGTTCTGACTACTTTCTGTTTGTTCAGACAACAAAAATTGACAAAAACAAAGACTTTGCAAAACTATCAAGCAAATATTTCTGCCAAACAGGACTTTACACACAACAATATTCACAAATTCACACCATAATAAAATGTCTCCTCTTCTACTTACAAACACTAAACTGGTATCTGTTAAACATTTAGAATCTGCACTTTCCACACAAACTCTCCAGTGTTTCTATGAACTATGAGATATTATTCATGTAAAATTACAGCATGACTCCGTGATCACTGGAGATAACTGTAACTTCTACGAGCCTTTAGGACGAAGCAGGGTGCAGTTTCTGCCAGTTTTATTTTACTTACACGTCTGTAGCTCAGTGTGTTCTGTACTTTCAGATCATGGAAAAAGCTCTTCTTCACATGGACAACGGCTATAAAATCCCTCACCTGCGCGGCCGTGGTTTCGTGTGCCGGACGTTTCTGCCCTCCTACACGGCCTTCAGAGGCTTCGGCGGCCCCCAGGGGCTCACCATCATCGAGAGCGTTCTGCACGAGGTGGCGGCTAAATGTGGCTTACCTGCACACCAGGTGAGACTGAGGACAACAAGAGAAGGCTGTTTACTGTGGTTAATACACTTCTTACTGTTTCATAAAGAGCTGTGTTTTTGGATGTCAGTCATTATTGACAGCAGTGAACAAAGGCAGAACTGAATTACAGCCCGTCTTAAAGTAACTCTGAAAACTGATTAAGGTAATGTTTTGCCCCAAATGTGGTCAGTCAGCCAAGATATGTTTCGTGTCTGAAGTTGCTCCTTTAGTTTTAGCACTGGAGCTACAGGCTAATGTAGCTAACAATTAATAAGAGTTTATAACCCACCAATTAGCATTAGCATACCCCACCGATTAGCAACCAGCATCTATTTCATTGCACACAGGAGCACTAATGACCAATAACTTTAACCTAATAACTTAATATAACCAATATAACTTAATATAACCATATATATAACTTTATATACCCTTATAACCTTATAATATAACCTTATAACGTTAGAATATAACCATACATAATTTAACCCTTATATACCCTTATAACCTTAAAATATAACCTAATGTACCATTATAACCTTTTAATATAACCTTATATATCACTTTATGCACCCTTATAACCTTATAGTATAACCTTATAATATAAATTATGTACCCTTATAACCTTATAATATATCCTTATGTACCCTTATAAACTAATAATACACTCTTATAATATAACCTTATATACCCTTGTAATATAACCTATATATATATAAAACCTTTAACCTAATAACTTATAACTTTAACCAAACTAACTGCCATTCACACCTCTGTCGTTAATGAGCAGGTTGGTGATTGGGCCATGTTCAGATTTGCATAACATAGTTACTGTATTCATTGTAAAAAATTATATTTTTTACAGTAAAATGTTGGGTTTATTTTGTGTCATACTGTAAAACATTGTCATTTAGAGCGATGCACTGTTTTATAGTCACATACCAGTCAAAACAATGCATAGCGGGAAGTCTGACACTGTATTTACTGTGAAATTTACAGTAATTTATTGGTACATAATTGTAAAACAAATATGCGGTAAAATACCATGAAATATTTACAGATTACTACTGTAAATATTTTACAGTACTTTACTGTAAAAATTTCTGCTGCCAGAAATTTTACAGTGTAATGCTATATTGTGTGCTCAGCTACCAATTTATGCTTAAATCAAACTACAGTGTCACTGCTGTACACTTAGCAAAGATGGCTCTTCAAGGGTTCTTTGGTAAAGACAATGGTTCTATTTAGAAGCATGACCTGTACTTAGAACCATTTAGCTTAAATGGCTCTTTGCATGGTTAAATGGTTCTTCAGATTGATGGAGAATGTGTTGTATATGGTTCTAGCACCAAAAAGGCTTGTAACAATAGCAGAATGCTTTTTGCTGCTAGAAAGAACCATTTTCAAAAAGGTTCTACATAGGACCTTTAGAATACAGCACATTCTCAGTCAGTCTGAAGAACCATTTCACCATGCAAAGAGCCAATTAAGCACGCATACAGTTCAATATTTTTAAGCGTGTAATTCCGGACTCATAGATTCAGCATTGAAAACTATGGCTATGTGTTTTTGGCCTCACGTCCAGTCATAGTTACTGGTCCAACTGGGATTTTGATTGGTCAGAAATGGAACTTGGAACGTGTTATGGTCTCATTCATTCATAATCAATTTAAGAGGTCATTTTGGGAGGGCCAATGATGAAAGTGGGGGTCTTCTCCACTTCTGGAAGCAGATAAACAGGACTGTATATCCACAGTGACCCATAATCGTTCTGACCCATCACTTCAGCACTTGGAATGGCTGTTTATTCCTCCCTGTGCAGGTGAGGGAGGTGAACATGTATCAGGGTGAGAGCAGCCTCACCCACCACCGGCAGCTCTTCAGCCCCACAGACATGCTGCGCTGCTGGAGCGAGTGTTTGGAGAAATCGGACTACGAGGAGCGTCTCCTCGCCGTCCAGCGGTTCAACTCCTCCAACCGCTGGAGGAAGAGAGGAATGTCCATCGTCCCGCTCAAGTTCGGAATCGGCTTCTCAAAGGGCTTCTACAACCAGGTGTGTAAAGCCGTTCGGCCACAGTTACAATATTAAAGTCCTCTTATGAAGCACTGGAAACTGCTTGTGTGCTAACTAATTTCTCCCAAGGCAGATGAAAGAGAGAAAGAGAGAGAGGGAGAGAGAGAGAGAGAGAGAGAGAGAGAGAGAGAGAGAGGAAAATTATAATCCCCTGGACTCCTGCTTACGGATGGCTGTGGCATCGCTGGGGTTTGAACTTGCAATTATAGGGCTAAAGCTTAGGCTGTGTTTGTTATTTCATTGTTTAGTCTTTGCTTATTCTTAAACTCAGAGAATAGTCCAAATAAATGATCTAATAACATGTTAATGATTGATAATAATTATATAATATCATAATTTATCAATAAATCATTTGACTGATTAGCCATTTACTTAGTGAGATACAAATAAATCAGTTCCAAGAATTATTTTGAAATGTAGAAAACTAATAATTTAGTTATTTAATATTCACAACTCACATATTATTGGGCTTATATACAATATATACAATATTAGGCATTTTATTAATAGCAAAAAGTACTCATTTACTCATTTAAACATTAATAATCATCAAACTGGGCCCTATTTTAAAGTTATGACTTTATAATGAATTTATAAAGATACATAAATGATAAGACTTAAATCACATTAAAACATTTATGAAAAACGGTAACATATTTTGGAGTTCTGAGAATCAAATAACTAAACCGTTACTAATTTAGAATTAATAGGTTGGATTTCTACAATTTAATGCATATGTGTAGTGTAATGCATATATAACTATTATATATTTATTAACTATTAAGGCATCATCTGAAAAGCATTTACAGTGCTTTAATTATTTGTGTCATCAAGAAAATAGTTAATAATGGAAATAAGTAGGTGTGTCCAAACTTTTGCTACTGTACAGTTCACTTACACATCACATTAAATGGGTTGGACTCCTGAAATGTTTGGAGTGTCTCTCAGTTTCTCTCTAAATCTCTTTATTGCTCCCTCTCTCTCTCTCTCTCTCTCTCTCTCTCTCTCTCTTTCAGGGGGCAGCGTTAGTGAACATCTACAAGGACGGCTCAGTGCTGGTTTCTCACGGTGGTACTGAGATGGGTCAGGGCATCAACACCAAGGCCATTCAGGTCAGCAGCACAACATCCAGTAACTTTCAAACATCTAGAGTGGACGATGAACCTACACAAAACATCTACCTAGACTGGAGGCACCTAGATGAAAGATCTACCTAGACTAGATAGGAGCAGAACAGTGGTGGTGTCCAGGAGTTGGTTTGAGAACCTCTGACCAGGATTTATATCCTCAGATCTTAAGTTTAAACCCAAACTGAGGATTTGTTGGTTTAGCTCTTTACACTTGTGCTGTGTGTTGTGTTTCAGATCGCTAGTCGTATCCTGAAGGTCCCCATGTCCTCAATCCATGTCAAAGAAACCTGCACTGGTAATGTTCCTAACGCAGCGCCATCTGCTGCCTCGTTTGGCACCGACGCTGTGGGAATGGCTGTGAAGGTAACCAACAGATACACTGTGAAAAATAATACCTACACAAGTAAAAGTATCTGAGTAAAAATAAAAGGCAAAAAATTGAATGGAAAAGAAATAAATTAAGGGTCTTTGACTTTTGAACAGAACTGTAATCTAAATACATACTGGATACTGGAAAACTAAATACTGGAAAGATCTGCTTTTCAAAATCTCTGTAGGTTCATTCATTATGAAATGTTCACCCTTTGCACAGCATGAAGGGAACTGACTCTTATAAAACAATCATAACATATTTATTTCTTGAATTCAAGTATTTTGGCATCATATTATCACAGCATTAACATCACTGTCATTTAAATCATGTCATGTTTGGAAAATAATCCAGCAGCTTCAGTGAAAGTGTAGTCTACATTGTGCCACATTGTCCAGTATCCTCCTGAGTTTGTTCTTAAGTGTGTTCTTGATAAAGGTCCTAAGAAAAAGTCTGCATCAGGTTCATGACGTGTTCTTAAAGCGCAGAACTGTTCTCACCGTTGTGCTCTTGAGTGTGTGAAGATTCTGTTCTTACAGAATGTCAGAATCTTCGTCAAAACTGCGGAAGTGGGTTTTAAGAAGAAATTTCTTAGTAAGAACGGTTGGTGAACGAGGCTCAATGTTTTTTAGTGATGTTCTGAGATTTTTATCATGTCCTGCAGAATGCATGTGAGAAGCTGATGGGTCGACTGGAGCCAATCAAAAAGAAGAACCCAGAATACACCTGGAAAAAGCTGGTGAGCACAGATCCAATATCCCAGAAGCATCAAAAGGTTCTGATCACTTAGCTATGCTGCACACTATAGCCTTAACTAAGGTCTTAGTTCAAGAGACTGGACCGAACCAGGACGTTTACACTAGTAGTATAAAAGACTACAGTGTAAAGAACGTGCATTTTTATATCTGCGTATATATTTGCATTTATATCTCTGTGCATTTTTTAATCTTAAATATAGTAAATGTTATTATATCTTTTAAATTTCCTTTTTCAATTATTTGACTGTGCTGTCTGGTTGCGCCGCCTGACTTTTCAGACTAATTTCAACTTAAACAGGCATCTACTTAAACACCCGTAAAAGCCTCTGTCCTTCAACTTGAGTTTATACTTACATTTTATTCAAGTAAATAAACATTATTATAATAAGTCCACATGTTCATGGTTCTCCTGAGGTCAGAACACCTGACATGGTAAACCGTTCTAGCCACGACTCAAACACACTTTTACTAAATCTGTGACCTTGGCATTGCACCATGATGAACACTTGGGGTCTTCTTTAGGATACAATACAATGGCAGTGTTTTTCAACCGATGCTGATTTCAGTGCAGTGCAACTGCAGTTAATCAGTTAATGAGCAATTTCGTTAGTTATTTTGCTTTTTCTGCCGCAGGTGGTGGAGGCGTACTGCCAGAAGATCAGCCTATCAGCTACTGGCTTTTTCATGTAGGTCATTCAAATCATAAATATTTGATCATCACGGCTGAAATGATTTTATAGAGTTACCGTAATTCTCTCTTCCTCCATCAGGGGGCCTCACACCGGTGTGGACTGGGAGAGGAGTGAAGGAACAGCGTATTATTACTTCACCTTTGGGGCCTGCTGCTCTGAAGTGGAAATAGACTGTCTAACCGGAGATCATAAAGTACCGTAACAACCTTTACAGTCACAATTAGAATTTTTTTTTGTAAACAATCATTAGCCTTATACTACTTCTACTATGATTACTACTGCTACTATACTACTTCTACTCATATACTACTACTACTACTACTACAAATAATAATAATAATAATAATAATAATAACGATAATGCCCAATATAACTATTATAAATTTTGTATTAAAGACAAATTTCAGAATGAATGCAGATTTTTGTTGTATGTACAAAATATATTAAATAGTGTAATTTTGGCAATTTTACCATTTCAGTGTGACATACACAGAATACAGTTTTCTGATTTTGGTGTTTTTGTTATTATATGTTGTCAACATTTTTTGATTGTGGTGTATTTGAATATTTGAATATTCAAATTTTCAAACATGTTCAAATTTTGTTTGATGCTATTTCGTTGTTCCGTCTTTTGTGTCCCTCTATATAAAGTAGCTTCTTCATTGTAAAAAAAAATACATCTGGACAAGTAAAATTATATGAAATCTAGTCAATATATGTAATATTTCTTATGTTGAAATATTGTAAGAATATTATAAGATTGTTTAACTTATGTCTAGGCATTTTTTTCTTGTTTTAAGTAATTGTATCATGTAAAATGATCTCACTACACTGGCAGATAATTTTGCTTGTTGTAATAAATGTGCTTAAAACAAACCAAATTATCTGCCAACATAATGAGATCATTTCACTTTATAAAATCACTTAAAACAAGTTAAAAATGTCTGGAAAAAATAATCTTAGAATAAGCGTACAACATCTCAAGATGAGAAATATTAGATATATCGACTAGATTTAAAATAATATAAATAAAATAATAGAATTTCACTTTGCAAGGTACCATTTTTTTGCTGCCCACTGCAAATAAAAATATTTTTAATGACTTGCATGGTTAAATGAAACTAAATACCATTAAAAATTAAACATAAATCAAATATAAATGAATGACTACAGTTTTCCATTCATTCTCACTGATGACCGACGTAAACCTGCTGTGTTACAGAACATCAGGACTGACATTGTTATGGACGTGGGCAGAAGTCTAAATCCTGCGCTGGACATCGGGCAGGTACGCATCGTACCCAGACAGGTTTATTTGGTGTTTGTGTCTCAGTAGAGCTGAATGTGCGAGTCTATTGGTGTCCAGGTTGAAGGAGGGTTCGTTCAGGGTTTGGGGCTCTACACTATAGAGGAGCTGCAGTTTTCTCCTGATGGAGCTCTGAGGACCAGAGGACCTTCAGACTATAAGATCCCCGCCCTCAGCGACGTCCCGCACATTCTCAACACGCACCTGCTGACCAACGCAGGAAACCCCCACGCCATCTACTCATCTAAGGTAACACAAACACAACCACTGTCAATCTTCACCTTCACTCCAGCTTCCATTCTGTTAAGGAGCCTCACTTTCAGCTCCTCAAAGAATCTGCAGACACACCTCCAAAGTTCAGTCTTAGAAGCTGGTTGATGATTTTCTGAAGTAATCAAACACATTCAGTGGTGTTGAGGTCTGGACTCTGGGGAGGTCAGTCCATTGTTCAGCTTCTTTGTTTGATTTGCAGATGTTCTTCTTCTCTGTCAAAAGTTGGCGCACCCTTGGCCGAATGACATACTGTGTTGTTTTTTGTTGAAGTGAAAAGGATTAAACACCTAAACAACCTCTGCAGCATTTTTTCTGAAATTTTTAACACACACCTATTTTATATTAGATGAACCTAAAAAATAGAAAAACAAATGAAAAACCTGTTGAGACGTCCAAAAGTTCGGAGTAACTTTGGCGGAAATCACAGCCTGCAGACACTTTTTTATAGCCAGCTAGGAGTCTTAGTTTTAGTAGAACGCCTCTTGTTCTGTAATATTCCTGGGTTGTCTTACATGCACAACATGTTTAAGATCTACCCACAGATTTTCAGCGATGTTAAAATCAATAAACTATCAGGGCCGTTCCAAAATCGTACATTTCTTGAAGTAGTTCATGGTGGATTTGGAGGTTTTGGTGTTTTGGATCACTGTCCTGTTGTAGAAGTCTCTTTTCAGCCCCAGTTTCTGGTCTTCCAGAATTTACTGATATGGCTTGATACCTGTGCAGTGTTACCTGTTTTACCTGAGCCACTGGCTGCCACACAACCCCAAAGCATAATAGATCCACCTCCATGCTTAACGCTTGACACATTGTTCCTTTCATCAAATGCTGCTCTTTTTTCTACACTTTTTCAGATCTGAAGCAGCTTGATTTTCTCCTCTCTCTCAAAGATGAAAGCTTTGAGTGCTGTTTATCAGTTTATACGTTTTTCACTTATTTTCCTTGGGCTTTCTCTTTATTTATGCAAAAAGTAATCTCTCTTATTTTAAGATTAGAAGGATGGATGAGTTGAAGTGGACAAAACTAAGCTGATATTCTTAATTTTCTGTGACATATATATATATATATATATATATATTGTTTGTTTGTTTTTGTTTGTTTGTTTGTTTTCCCTGTTGTAGGGAATCGGTGAGCCCCCGGTGTTTTTCGGCTGCACTGTGTTCTTCGCCATTAAAGAAGCGATCGCGGCGGCGCGGAGAGAGAGGGGCCTCAGCGAGAGCTTCAGTCTCTCCTCTCCAGCTACAGCTGAGAAAATACACATGGCCTGCCAGGAAACCTTCACCACTGCGGTGAGCTTTCACTGCTTTTTACTGTTTCAACACACAAACAGAGATAAATAAGATTCAGTAATGTAGGTGTATAATATCCAGTGGAAACACAAAATATTATTCTACTTATACACAATAATGAGATGAAGTACAGGAATAATTAGCTTACATGGGCCATCACTTATGTTTTTAATTAGTAAGAAAAAATATATGTATTCTGTAATAAAAATTATTTGGAGTGCAACAATTTAGGCACCCCTTACCAAATTCCATGTTATTGTTGTAAATAATTTAACACATCCTCTACAGAGTTACTGTTTATTTATTGAATTTAACATATTAACATAACCAGGCTTGTTTCCCAGATAGAGATTAAGCCTAGTCCTGGACTATACATGGACCTTCTAATGAAAGAAATAACATGTCTAATAGGTATATTATATATGATCAGGGTTAACCCAAAATGTGCCACGTGCAAAGGATTGACCATTTTTCTTATATTGTACCTGCAGCATGGTAAAATCAGCAAATAAATAGAAATTACGCACTAAAATTTACCAAATAATGGCATTTTTGAATTTGTTCAGGGGGACCAATCGTAATACACACACCTACACACACAGGTAGAATTACAATTCTTTAAATTTTACAGGTTACAGTAACAGTGATATAGAGATAGAAAGGTCCAAAGGTCTGAGACCACATTGAGAATCTGGTATTATTTTCATTTAAACCTGGAAAATAATAACAGAACATTTTAGAATTTTGAAAAAAAACAAAAAAAAAAACAAAACAGTTATAAGAAGCAAAATGAAGAAGAAATATTCAATTTGCATATTTCTTGGTCACTATTCTCTAAAAATCTAAGCAAATCTGTGACACTGACCATGTCTGAAGATGATGCAACAAGATTCTGCTGTTCACCCAGATTTGTGATGAAAAAAATAATATAAAATTTGGAAAGAATGCAAAAATGCTGTATATTACAGAAGTGCATTTCCTCGTTTCCTTCTATTTCTTTAGGCTTCCTCCTCTGAGGGTGGACGCTGCAGACCCTGGGCCATCAACGTGTGAACCAAAAACTCCGCCGGCCTCTCGGACGGTCACCTAACTAATAATGACTTAATATCTTGTAATAATTACTTTGAGATTATTTTACTCTTCAGATCTGATTGCTTATTATTTTGGAAAATATACTTTGAGATACTGAGTCATTATTTTGAGAAAATTGCTCATTATTTCAAGATACTAAATCAAATTTCTGAGAAATTTAGTCCATATTTCAAGATATTAAATCAGTACTTTGATAAAGTATGATGAACATTCATGAATCTGCATTTTAGGGTCAACATTGTTCAGATGCAAAAAAGGGGAGAAACTATGCAGATTAACAACCTGCAGTGATTTACTAACATGAACCAACTGGGAAATTTCACCAAAAGAGGCGAAAACAAAGCAAGTTTTTGTTCTCGTCTCTTCACTTGTGAAAGTTTTCATTTCTTAGACTTTAAGGCCCCTTTTTCTGTTATTGCTTCTTTTGTATCGCATGGCCTCATATGAAAAAAATGCATATCATATACATTTGAAAATGTATGAAATTGGGCAATAAGGTTTAGTTCATCTTGGGAAGATTTCCTACCTATAACGTTTCCTCATTGACGGATTTTATTTAAAAGAAAGTAAGTGCGTGTGATCATTTGAAGGTATTAAAGGAACAACACGTGTAATTTTTAGGCTTTACATAAAAAGCTTAATGCTTTCTGGTAACCACACGTCTTTTAGCAGATGGAACTTGACTCCATCCAGCTCTTCTACAGAGAATTTCTTCTTTCTCTGTCTGTTTTTCTCCAGCTGGTCATAAATCAGGCACAAACTAGAACCATCTGCTCTTTGCTTGCTAAAATGTATCAGATGCTGTAGGCGTTGTGCTCTTCTTAGTAAATCTGTCTTAAATCTCTAGCAGTTAGAGAGAGACTGTATGCAGGTAAATGACCTGTAATCTAACTTTAATATTTAATCTAACTTTGATATTTAATCTAAGTTTAATATTTAATCTAAGTTTGAAATTTAATCTAAGTTTGAAATTTAATCTAAGTTTGATATTTAATCTAAGTTTAATATTTAATCTAAGTTTGAAATTTAATCTAAGTTTGAAATTTAATCTAAGTTTAATATTTCACCATTAGTATTTCTAGACAGTGTGTATCACTGTGACAACCAGCCCCAACTTTCTTTAGTATCAATTAGACGTTTGGGCTCATATGAGGTTTTTCTTTGGTTTTACTTTTTTCCACATTTTTGGACCAACATACGAGACCAAAAACTGTTTAATCCAAACTTTCTGTTTCAGATTCTTTAGTATCTATGAGTATCTATATGTTTAGTATCTATATTTTTGGGCATACAAGGGTTTGTTCCAAAAAAAAAAAAAATTTCATGAAGAATGGACCAACAGAAATGACCAAAAATTACTTGAAAAAAACCCTGGTTCCATTGACTTACATTAAAAGTAAAGTAGTTTTTTCCTTCTCCTGTAAAGTTACCATTTTGGAGATATAAGGTTTTGATCTGACAACAGCGACATACATACATACATATATATATATATATATATATATATATATATATATATATATATATATATATATATACACACATATAAAATGTAAGTCAGTGTAATCAGAATTTTTCCAAGTAATTTTGGGCCAGTTCATTTGGTCATCATGAAATTTACACACAATATAAAGGGCAACAGGCATTTTCAGTTTTTGACATAATTTGATTGAGAGCCTGTTGGCCTTCGCATTGTGTATAAATTTAATGATAAATGGACCAGAAGAAACGGCCCAAAATGACTTCTGGAAAATGGAAAATTCTGGTTCCATTGACTTACATTAAAAATAAAGTAGTTCTTTTCCTTCTCCTGTAAAGTTACCATTTTGGAGATATAAGGTTTTCTTTCTTCCTTTAGATGTGTTTATGGTTATGGAAGGATCATATGATTATGAAAACCACCTGGAAATTTTCTTTTGAGCTTGTATTTGATTCCCTGCTGGACGTTGGACCGAGCCCAGATCCTCAATAAGTAGGACAGTGACTCAGCAGATTCTGCAGCCAGCAGAACTTTGCACTCATCTGGCAGGAAGTAACAGTAGAGAGAGATTAAGAGGCTGTGAATGAAGAATTACTGCAATCTTCAGGACTAACACGACTATACTGTAATATTATAACATAATAACAACACGTTTATCACTGTGGCATTGAGGTAGACGTTCACTCAGTTACCATCATGACAATGTACTTAATAAAACTAACACGTCTGAATGGAGTGCATAAAGAGTGAGTTTTTATTGTCAAACATATCTGATTAGTTACAGAACAGTCACCAAGTCACGTGTCAGATCTTGAATGATAACAGATTGTGCCTGATATCAAACTAATGTTTAGTAATTACAATTAAAGAAATATTACACTGTAAAGGTCAAGCTTGAAAATGAATCACATTGAGAACAGAAAATTTAAGTGTGCTGGTTTAGTATAGGAGGCGGAGCTTCCCAGCATTTTTAGTGCTTTTATTAGTTAATTAGAGCTCATTTTGGGTTGAAACGTTATTTTTAGGCTAAACATGAAGTCTGAATGCATTGAGTGCTAATTACTATTAAGGGTTTAATTAATGTAACTGATGGAAATTTTGAGTTAATTTTAACGTGTATACATTGCTGGAAGGATTTACGATCATTTTAAAGAATAAAAGTCTTTATCTGTAATCCTGGAACACATTCATATCCTCTTGATTTATGATGTTTTGTGTGTGTTTATGTAGTAAAACACCCGTAATAAATTTCTACATGACCATTTTCCAAGCTCTACAATTAAACAGGCTGTTTTTTGATACCGCCCCTTTAAAATGTATGTAAATGAGCTCTGTTTTGATTGGTCGTGTATCATTCAAAAACCATTGTGAGCTGAAATACTGCTTATAACTTCCGTTTAAGTGAGTGGGCGGAGCTACACTGCTGCAGGCTGAATAGGATATATGTGAATGTGCTGGTTTTTGTGACATCACAAAAACAGTGAATTCAAAACAGGCTGTTTTTCCAGCTCAGTTTCCATGTATGGACAGAGTGGTCAGATGTTTGGGCAAATCATGGCAGCTCCAGAGCCCACGGCCGAGCCATTTCTGTTTCTGCTTGTGGAATCTGGAGAAAAATACCAAAAATTTGATACGTGAAACATAAATTCACTCATCAAAATAAAATTAATTCATTCAAGAAAAATAATTCACAGTTTGCACAATATTAAAAGCATGATGTAGCTTTCTATGAATTATTTCTGCCCAATTAGATTGTTGTAAGCAGAAAAGGAAATATTTTATTATGTTTTGAATTTAAGGAAATATTATAAATATATGTACAATCTAGTTTTGCAAAAAAGAAAAACTGTCCTTTATATTTTTGCTTTTTTTGTCAATATTTGACATTGAAACACATTGAAAAAAGTCAGAAGTTCAGACTCAAACTTGTCCATAAAGATTAGAAAAATCAAGAGCAAATTTACTCATATCGCTGTTGTCGGAAGAAAACCTCGTATCTCCAAAATGGTAACTTTACAGGAGAAGGAAAAAAACTACTTTTAATATAAATCAATGGAACCAAACTTTTTTTCCAAGTAATTCTGGGCCGTTTCTGTTGGTCCACTCATCATGAAATTTACACACAATGTAAAGGGAAACAGGCATTTTCAGATTATGTCAAAAACTGAAAAATGACAAAAATGGAGATACAAGGTTTTCTTCTGGCAGCAGCGATATATACTGTATTTTAACGTATAATATATATATATATATATATATATACTTTAGCGTATTTTATGTACAAATATAATAATAGTATTTAAATAAATAACTAATGTAAACTGAACGTACAGCCAACCGGCAGTAATAACTATAGATTCTAACAGTAAAGACAGCAAACAAGCCTCATACAGATGTATGACTGAAAGTTTAATCCACTGGTTTAAATCAGGTTTAAATCCCACTTTATACCGGTAACAGTCTTCGAATGCATCACATACCATCTGTGTGAAGCGTGTGCTGCACGCGACGCAGGCCCGGTCAGGTGTAGCCGGGCTGTGTAAAGTGAATGGGCCGCTCAGTCCCGCGTCGCTCCGAGCCGCTGCCACCGCCTCCTTCAGCGCGAAGAACACAGAGCAGCCCAGAAACACAGCGGGTTCACCAACACCCTGAAACAAAGAGTAAACAACAGTAAACAACTCTGCAACACAGCCAGACTACACTGAGCGGCCAAAACAGGATGAACACTCACAGATGAAGCAAATAACACTGATTATGTGTCAAGATCTGGGACATATTAGACGGTGAGAGAACAATCGGTTCTTGAAGTCGATGTACGTGGGAGAAATGGGTGGGTGTGAACACCTGATCAACTTGGACAAAGACCAGATCATTATGGCCAGATTGACTGGGATGGAGCATCTCTGAAACGGCAAGGCTTGTTGGGCACTCCCGGTCAGCAGCAAACCAGTGAGAGGGTGCTGAGCGCCCAAGGCTTATCAGTGCTCATGGGTGACAAAGGCTGTCCAGACTGGTCAGAACATACAGAAGAGCTACTGTGGCAGAAGCCACAGAAATGTTTAATAATGGTTCAGGGAGGAATGTGTCAGTGCAGCGTAGCCACAGAGTGGTTAAGGTGCCCATACTGACCCCTGTCCACCATTAAAAACGTCTACAATGGGCTCACAAGTGCCAGAACTGGACCTTGGAGCGATGAAAGAAAGGTGCCTGGTCCAGTGAGTTCCTTCATCACGTGGACGGCCGCGTACATGTGCACTGTTTCCCTGGGGAAGTGGTGGCACTAGGATGCACTGTGGGAAGAAGTCAAGCCCATTTGAGGGAGTGTCATGTTCTGGGTGATGTTCTGGTCCAGGCATTCATGTGGACATCAATTTGACATGTGCCACCTGCATCAAAGATCATTGCGGACGCTTCATGGTGATGGTGTTCCCCAATGGCCTCTTTCAGCAGGGTAATGATCTGCCACACTACACGTATCATT